TTAGAGCTGGCCTCTAAAGCTCAATACATCGTCGTATAGCACAGCGTTTTAGGTCCACTGAAGCCCAAAAGGAGGCATGCTGCGCCGAAAGCCAAATCGGCTCGGCGTTTTCGGCGACCGGAACCTCAAAAAATCTAAAAATAGCGAAGCCTTTAGCGAAAAATTTATGAATTTAATGACCGTTGTGCTGCAGATAGCGGCTTAACAAATTTTTAAAAAATTAAAGGTTCTAGACGGTTAGCGGGGGAATAATTTTTGTTATTCCGCTTATCCGCTGATGACCTAATGTTATTTTACAATGGTTGCCGTAGTGAGTGATGGGGAGAAAGTTATACAAAACCAGTGGAAAAAGACCGCTTCGCGGCCCTTTTCCACTGGACCCCGTCCAGGAACCATGAATCTGAACACCTTCCTTTTTTAGCCTGCGGCGCAAGTACGTTGGTCAAGGATCCATTCTTTGGCCTGCGGCGCGAGAGCCTGGATCAAGGACCCTTTCTTTGGCCTGGCGCTAGAGTCAGAGCAAGGCCTAAACCTCGCGCTAGAAACTTTTTGCCTGCGGCGCTAGTTACTGGTTGTTCTCCAGGATCTGGCCTGCGGCGCAAGAGCCTAGATCAAGGACCCATCCTAAGCCTGAGGCGCGAGAGCCTGGACCAAGGACCTTTCCTTCGGCCTGCGGCGCTAGATCGAGGGTCAGGCCTAAACCTCGCATAGCGAGAGCATAGAAAGATGCTTTGCTGCTAAACTACCAAAAAGCAAAAAGCCAAATTCGCCCAGGATCCGAACCTATGTCCTTCCGCGTGGTAGCCCGGGGGCTAATCCCATACACCAAAAGGCACATGGGGACAGGGGCCGGGAAAGGCCTCTTTCGTTCTGGGAAGGGGCGGGGAGGCAATGAAAGGGCCGAGCCAATGCCCCGGGCGGGAGGCCTTTTTGGTCACTTTACAAAATTCTATTTTTGCGTCTCAATCCGCTGAAAATTTGTAAAGATAATAAGATGCGCATGATCCCCACCATCGATTACATAAGTGGTCCAAATTACAGACCGAAATTCCATCTGGGCTTCGAGTTATGGCCCGAACACCACGGCTCTTGGCCGATTTTATTAAGGACTTTTTAGAAAAATGCTCATAAAAACTTTATTTTACAAAAACAGACAAAACGCAATATTATATATCGGGAGAATTCGATTTTAAATCTACCCTCCAAAAATTAGAGCCCGATTCGGTCTGGTAATCGAGATATCATCTGAACAAACCTTTGTTCGGCCAAAATGTTAAGGATTTTTCACTATTTTCCTTGTAAAATCGTTATATGAAGGAATTTCGAGAAACAAAAAATTGCTTCACTGACAAATGTGTTTCTCCACCTCCATGCCAAAAATCAGCCGGAAATTCGGCCTGGCGGCCGAGAAATCGCCTGAACAGAAAACAAACATACTTTTCTCGCTTATAGGATAGGATCTTTTTGAAAAAATCGAAACCTCGAAAAATTTATCCTTTTCGTCGTTTTTCAGGCATTTTTTAGAAGTCAAAAATTTTTATACTTTTTTGATGAGCTTTTCTATCCGAAAAGTGTGTAAAATATTTTAGAAATGATCTTTAATTTGTTGTGGGGCCGTAAAAATTATTAAGAAAAACCTAGCTCCCCCCGATAACAGTGCAGTACCGAGTTAATGTTAACTTACGACCCCCTTTCATCCCATTTGTGCTGTGAAAATCTTTGGTGGCTGTCCATAGCGAAACGAACACGCGGACAGTGAGGGGTAAAAAGCGCGACTAATATGTTTTTTTCTTCAGAAAATACTGCGATTTGGTGACCGATCACCTGTTCGAAAATCATCTGTTCGAAAACCATCTGTTCGAAAATCATCCGTTCGAAAATCATCTGTTCGAAAATCACCTGTTCGAAAATCATTTGTTCGAAAAGTCATCTGTTCGAAAAGTCATCTGTTCGAAAATCATCGGTTCGAAAAATCACCTATTCGAAAAAGGTTCCAAATGGGGAAAAATTCTATGGGAAGCTATTGCTATTAAAATGCTGTGTTTCGCATGTTTCGTGGGAAAGTTCGAGGAAAATCTGAAATTGCGCGGCTATATCGAATCCTCCGCCAAGCCAAATAAGCGCCCGAGGGTGACCATCGACGAGCAGCAAAGAATATATGGCCGAGTTCCTCGACAACATCGCCAAAATTTTAACCTGAATTGTCACGAATATGTCTTTTAAAGTCTTTTTGTTTTTTTTAAAGTTTTTTTTGTCATGAAAAATTTTGAAAAATTTGTTGCTTGGAAAACGGTGATTTTTCGAACAAGATGATTTTCGAACCGATGATTTTCGATCAGATGACTTTTCGAACAGATCAATTTTCGAACAGATGTTTTTTCGAACAGATGATTTTCGAACAGGTGATTTTTCGAACGGATGATTTTCGAACAGGTGATTTTCGAACAGATGATTTTCGAACAGGTGATAGGGAATCCTGCGATTTACAGCCTATTTTTGGGTACTGCGTGGCACTCTAATTCGCTTGGCTAACTACAGGGTGTCCAAAAAAAAGCACCCCTCTAGCGGCGCGCAGTCGTGTCCGATTTCCACCGTTTAGGTATCTATCGAAAGCTCTTGAAAAGGCGAGAAAACAAGGAGGGTTGATTTTCTTTATTATGTTTTTTATTCGCAAATTTTAGCTCCAAAAACCAAGAAAACGGCAGATTTTCGCGGGATCTGCATGCTAATTGCGAAATTCTTATTGAAAAGCTGCCTGTTTTTGACAAAAACGTTGAATATCGGACGAATAAGAATAAATTTTAGAAAATGAAGCCCGCTTGTTTTCTCGCCTTTTTGCGGGCTTTCGAATGGTATAAAAATCATCCTGATCTGAGTTTCCCCCGGACCGCTAGAGGGGGGTGCTTTTTTTGGGACACCCAGTAGAGCCCATCAACCGTCATTTGCCTGACCGGCCTCCTTACCTGGCGGGAGGCCATGTGCATCGGATGATCGGGCGTACCCAGAAGGCTATCTGCGACGCGGGCTGGGTCTTGGGCCATCTGTCCCGCTGTTTGGCCACGGTAGGTGCTGCTGGGGCATTGCGCGTCGCCCTGACGCATGTGTGGACCCTCCTCATCATCTGCATTCAGCCGCGCAACTGGCACCCAACTGTGTGCATCCCCTTTTACAGACAACCCACCTAGCACCCAATTCACTATAGGGATGTACACACACACAAAAATCGGAACGAAGAACGGTGCACGCCATTCCAGGCTTTAACAGGCAGGCACGGATAGCTTTTGGGCTACGGCAGGCCCCCTTGCACAAGGGGACAGCGCGCTCGCTACGTTTTTGTTCGAAAATGAACAAACTTTTGGACAAAACTGGATTTTTCTCGAAATGTAATAGAAAAATTAGAAAATCAATTAGATTTAAATATTCTAGACGCCAAGGCGCAGATTTTGAGACCTAACTATCGAAAATCTATTCTGGTACTTTTTTGTGATGGTCTTTTGAAGTTCAGTTCAGTATTTTGTGCGGTTTTAAATAGCGCAGAAACCAAGCATTGTCGCTGAAATCTGAGCCTAGATTTGGTAAAATCAAGGTCGATTACCCCCTAGTGCGTGAAATCGACGCTTAAAATGGCTCCAAGTGACTGTTTTGCGAAAATGTACGCCAGTGGATCAACCGTCTCTTTTTGATCGGGTTATTTTTTTCAGATCCTTATTGTTTTAGCAGTTTTCAATGGCTGGAGCACAGTTTTTAAGCAAAACGCAAAAGCTTGGCAAAGGTTTTGCGGAGAAATAGCGGTTGCACGTTGGTCCCGGGGGGTCGAACCCGGACCCTCTGTTCGTGATTTGGGATCGGCGCTAACCGATTGCGCCGCGGCCCCGGGGGGTCCTATCCGTGCCTCCGTGGAATGCCGTGGGTGTAAAAGAGCAACGTTTAGGGCAAAGCAGAAGGGCGCTTCGCCCACCGGAGATTCGACGGCTTCGAGCCCCTTAAAGGGCTGCGGACGGCATGTGTCGATCCCCCCCCCCATCAACAAATTGGCAAGTAGCCAACAAGGCAGAGAGCGCGCCCTGGGGAGAGGCGCAGAGACATTTTCTTTCCAGCGCGTAACCGATTGACTATGCCGTCGGCATCCCTTTAATAATCGCCTAACATCGAGCAAGGTATCGCAAAAAAATTCAGCTAAATATATATGGTACTACTCTGCTAGCAGAGAGGGCTAGCCGGGGAACTAAAATTTTTCAACCAAACGGTCAAAAATCAATTAAAAATGGCCAAAAAAGGTAAAATCCTACTATATATAAAAAAATAGTGTTTGTGTGTGTGTGTGTGCCACTTTGCATGCAACTTCCGTCAGCGTGTTCCAGTAGTATCTCAATAAGGAGGGTAGTTAGGGGTATGTATGATACGTCATTAGGTGCGTAATGGTCTGGAGATGACTGCACACTTAAAAGATTTTACAAAATCAGCTATTTTCAACGTTAAATTTAAGTTTTTGTAAAAATTTCGGACACCCTCTTTGTTAGGAAAAAATTAGCATTGACCGGAAGCCACGGTAGTCTATATAAGGGAAGAGAGGTAGTGTTTCTCATTTTTTTGCCATCTGAATTCGGGAAAATGATGTAAAGTGAAGAATTTCATGGGATCAGACGGGGCCAGGGTTGAAAAGTCGCGAAGCGGCTTTTCAACCCTGGTTTTCGTTATAAAAATTCTTTTTTATAACTTCCTAGCGCTGAGAAACTACTAAAACCGCTGTAAAAATACATTATATAATATAAGTAACAACAATAACAAAAAGCGGGAAAATAAAAATCGTCGCCTGCGTCTCTGCGTCTGGGTCCTGCTTATCGTAAACAGTTTTTTATTTACTGTAAATGAAGAAAATCTGAAAATCCAGTAGCAACAAGCAAATAAAACCCTTTATTCAAGCGCAAATACGAATTTCGTGCTGTCAAATCCCGGCCAAAGATGGGCATCTCCGACGGGTAGGTCATCAACAGCTTCTAGTACTGGTAGTAGGCGTCGAAGTGCTGCGAGCGGACCGAGAAGCCGGCCGTTGACGCGTCGTACGAGCCGTTGCCCACCTGAAAGTTAGAAAATAGCGAAAATTTCTTCGATGAAGCTCTACCTGACGTCCGGCCACCTCGTGTCCCTCGACGGCCGTCTTGCAATCGTCGTCCGAGGCGTCGACCTGGGCTGAAAATCATCATTTTGCGTAGTTTCAGAACCAAAACGTATCCAATTCCATTTGAACCTTTGATACTGACTGAATTCGAGCTTTTGAGCCTATGTATCTTCAAAAAATATTGAAAATAGCGTCTTAAACAAACCTAAAATCACTAACAAATCCTTAAACATTAAACGTCTCCTACAGGCAAGGTCCTGCTCGTACAGCTGCTGCTGCTGAAGCTGCCGCTGCTCCTGGAAGTACGAGACGGGCGTGTAGCCGGCGGCGCGGAGCTGCTCGATGAAGTGCAGCTGCCGGATCTGCTGGTTCGTCAGGCCGGGCATCGCCTAAAACTAAGGGTTCATCAGTTTCTGCTTCACCAAAAGTCGTGCAGCTTCAGCCAAATCCCTCGTTCTCAAACCTGCATGGCCGGAAGGTAGACGGATCGCGAGTTGTTAGCCATCGCGCGCGATGAAGCCGAGTCACGAAGTGTCAGATCAACACCATTTTCAAGCCGCTTTCTCGCCGGAAGACGAATTCAAATCCGTTATCCAAATCATGTGTGTATTTCTCCAAAACATAAAACTTTATTGAAATCTTTGCGTTGATAACTCCCGAACGGCGACTACGATTTCATCACCACGTGAAATCGGCCGCTGGCCCAGTGGTGAGAACCAAATAAATAACGGGACAAGGGCCTGCTGGTGAGTACAAAGAAAGGGTCCGCGATACGAAAAGACATTACCGGCTGTACGGTGAGCGCGCTCGATTAAATTGGCCTGGCGGGGGAACAGAATCGTTGCCGTCAACGGATACACGTTTCATTGGGGGAGGGGGTTGGCTGATAATACCCAGTGGGCTGATGGGGACTTTGAGTAACAAATAACATCCATCACACACGCACACAATTCGCTAAACCTAATGCGTCAACGAGACACGTTGCAGAGGAAATGGTAACAACTAGTAGACTCTTTTGCTCCAAATTCAATATTCTAGAATTGTGGGTTGGAAACTATCGAATGGGTAAAATCCGGCGGTTGACCTTTTACATGCGTGACTGCATCCCGCCGTTCACGCTGATCGTCTCGCCGGTGAGGTAGGCTGACTCGTCAGAGACCTAAGAAAACATATTTATTTTGAAAAATCAATTTACCAAGAATGATACGGCAGATGCTGCCTCGTCCGCTTCGCCAATCCTTCCCAATGGGATTGCCTTCGTCGTGTCGCAGTGCACCGCCGGATCCTCATAGAGGACTTTAGAAAAATCGGTTCGGATGATGCCTGAAATCAAGGTAGATATACGCGAAAAGACATCGAAAACGTCGCTATTTTCACCATCGAAAAAATTTTTAGTAAAGCGCAACGATATTTAAACCGGGAAATATCTAAAAGCATCCAAAACATTTTTTTCTTTGAAATTTTTGGCCATTATTGGTGGAAAAATCTATCTTTTGCAGTTCTGAATCATTATTTGTTAGTTTTCGGGCACAGGAATTGTAAAAAAATTGTATAACTAATAATATCAGGAAAACCAACCGGGAGCGATGGCATTCACCCTGATGTTGCGATGGGCGACGGCAAGAGCCAGGTTCTTGTTCAGCCCGATCAGCGCCGATTTCATGATGGAGTAGGCGCCGAGTCCTTCGATTGGGCTGAAGCCGGCCACCGACGCGACGAACACGAGATTCCCTGCAAGATACGAATTTTAACAAATCAGAGCTGAAACCCTAAAAATTCCTCATGCTAAAAATTCACAAGCCAGACTTTCATTCCACTAACATGTGATCAGCCTGTCGCAATATGTTTGCTTTGTGCGCTCTCGTTGGACTTTTGAAAAGCCCCTTGCATCAATATTATGGCAAACCGATTAGCGGCTGCACTTTGTTTCACAAACGTGGAAAAGGGCATCAGCCGATTTCCCAACCAATTTGCATGTATTACCTTGTCCCGAGGCTTCTAGGTGCGGGATGGCTTCTTGCGCAAGTTGAAACGCAGACGTTACCTAATAAAAACGTTTTAGTTTTTACCATAAAACTTACATTGACCTGCATCAGCTTGTCCCACTGTGAATCGCTGATCGACATCAAATCCCCATAATGAGGGTTGGCCGCCGCGTTCGAGACGAGAATGTTCAACTTGCCGTGCCTAAAAGAAGTCTAGAAATACAGAAACGGGGATGATTACTTGTCCAAGGTGTGATCTATGAGCTTCTTGCGGTCGTCTTTGTTTCCGACATTCGCCACGACGCCGCTCACGTTGATGCCCTCGAGCCGGAGCGCGAGTACGGCTTCCTGAAATGCTTATATTTAAAAGACGGTACCTCTAAAGCTATTGCGTACGCCTTAAATCACAGATACTTTTAGATATTTGGAAAAAATCAAAGGTGCCGGCTCACATGGAATGGTCTTGATACTTCGGCTATGGCTATACGATTGTTCGTCAAAACGACTGGTCATCGTGCCGCGCCTTGAGATCAAAAGGCAAGACCGGAAGCGGATCAGTTCAAGAACCATACCTCCACGTTTTTCTCTTTTCGGCTGCTGACCACCACCGAAGCTCCATCGAGGCCAAGTCGTCTCGCGATAGCAAATCCAATCCCCTTGAAAAATCAAAATAAAAGAAAAATAGAAGATAAGCTACCTTTGTCGAAGCGGTCACAACAGCCACTCGGTCAGCCAAGGTGCGCAGGCTCGAAGATGCCATACGATTTCACCTGGAAAAGAGCCTTATAAATAATTCAAGGTCTCCAAGAAAAAAAAAAAAGAAATTTAAGAAAATCGACGGGAAACGCTTCCTAACCCGCGAAGCTTTTTGGCAGGCAAATCCTGCCTGCTTAGCAACCAGTTCTAAGCGAACGGGGCGGATAGTCAAAAAATTGTACAATTAAATGCGCGTCCTAAGGTTTGTTATACGCTCCAAAGGCTTCATTAGCTTCCCCTTGCCACTTTTAATCGCGAGCCCCCAACCCTTGCCAGCGCAAATCACCGATTAATCCGCTATACGAAAAATTAGTGGGTTTTCCCACACGATCGCAAGGCTCTTTTTGTTTTTATGGATTTACTGATAGGCCCCGAGGGCTGTTGCAGGGCAATACTATCGCAAATGACGGGCAACGGGGTAGAGCGAAAGTCAGCTGCACCCAAGCCCAGGGTCGGCTGGCGGAAACCCGAAAAATGAGGCCATATGGAAGGAAAAGGACGAGCAGACCGAGACCTTCGAAGCACCCGGGCCACAGCAGCCGTGCAAATAGAGGTGCTTTCCGAGTTCACCGGCGCAGTTGATCGGTTCTTTGCGGAAGGTGACAACATATTGGGGGCCTTCAAACCAATAACTAATCTTTGCGAGTTTTTTGCACGAAAACGGCGTAAAAATTTAACTAAAAAAGGTAAAACTTCAAAAATGTACAGCGCAAAAGTTTGAGCTGTGCAGAGGAAGTTGGTGTGGTCGCCTAGACGATACTCTGCACGCACAGACTAACCAGTTTTACTGCAATTTCTTCTTGGGCAAACGGGATCCGCTTATAAACAACAACTCTCTACGGAAATCATATGGCGGAAACGAGAAAAAAGTGTCACAACTCTCGTGGCACTGATTGCTGCAATCTACGGGCAGTTTGTCAGTTTTACAGCAAATTGCCGGAATTCCAGCGGGCATGGGGGCGGATCTCCTGCTCACTTTTCAGGGGATGATGAAAACTAGGTCGTCGCTTGCCGGTAAACTGATAATAAGTTTAAAAAGTAATAAATTGGTAGGGTTTTAGGGTCTTCTTAATAAAAAGCGTTTAATTAAATTCGGGCTTTCTAAACTTTGGGCAGAAAACCTTTCTAAAATTTCAGGAATTATTGGAATTTTTTTGGGAAGTTTCGAGGACTTTGAAGGGACAAGGTATTACCTCAAAATGATGCGCTTTTCTAATCCTGGAACAAACGGGCGGGGGATTAGCGGTAAGCTAGTGATGCTTTCCAAAACTTTTGGGTTCACATGAACCGAAAATAATCATCGTCGAGCCTGGGGCATTAATGGAGTCGATGAAAAGCCTCTGAAAAGACGGCTTCCGGTTGGGGACCGACCGGAAGCCGGGGGATGGCGGCTTTTTGCGGATAGAATTAAAGACAGGATTTTTCGGGTTCCTAATTCTGGCTCAAAACAATAAGTTAAAAAAAGAATTTCTATTACAGATGCTGTGGGAAATGGGTGGTGAATAGGAGCGCCGTGCAAAAGGAGGTATTTAGCAAAGGCGAGGGCTAGAGATAGGAGACATGGGAGAGATAGAGAAAGGGACAAGAGAGGGAGAGACGGGTCAGCCACGTGAAAGGGAGCACGTCAACAGAGAGGGGCCCGGGTGAGAGGGAGAATTTCGAAATTTGGGCCTAATTTTCTGGAGATGGAAGAATGCAAAAAAATGAAGCCATGAAGCGGCTTTAATGTTGAAGTTTTAGGAGGATTTAGAAATTAAAATTCACCTTTTTGCACCGACGAAGGTCCGGAATAACAGAATTCTCATGTTAAAATTTTGGATTTCAAAGCGAATACCTAATAAAAGAAAAGCCGGACCGATCTATGATACAAACTTTGCTACAAAATCATAGAACCCGCGCCCCGGGTTTCTGGCCGTATTTTATTCAGCGACCGGGGCCGTCACGTCGAGAGTGCATTCCGCGTCCACCCAAGAGATTTGGCGAAAACATGTATTGGGAAAGTATCTGTAGCCATGTAAATAAAATGCGGCAGCGGCGCGAAACCTGCGAAGGATCTCTATTTTGCAGGTGGCGACATGATAGAACGGGGTGTACATGCTCGGGGTAAATTGGGAAGTTTCATCAAGTCCCTGAAGAGATAATCGACTGGATTATCAATCCAGGAAATGGAAAATAAAAATTGCTTGTTCATGCGTTTGTGACGTTTGTTGAGAAAAACCGATGTGTGATCAGTTGGGTTGAGCCCCTGCTCCCCTTCCCCTCGAGCCCCGTTTCGCACGAGTACACCGCGATACCGTCGCCGACGCCACGGCGCGCGCTCAAGAATCGAAGCCGCCCAAAGAAGAGAGCCCCCTCGCAAGTCGGTCGCGGATTTTTGGGGTTTGCCGCACCCCGTTGCCGCCGGTCTTTCATCTAATTCCCCGTCCCCTAGATTTCCCCCTCTTTATCTGCCCCCGTAACTCCTTTTTAACATCGTTTCCCCCTCTAAATTCTCACTCTCCTCAGTTTCCCCTGCGTAAATTATTCGTAATAAACTTTTCTCACTAAATTATTGTCTTTCTAATCACATTCTAGTTTTCTAACATGTTTTTGGGTTTTCTCCTAGCGTCTTGTAAGGCGCAGCGAGTTGTTTGCGGAGTTAGGAGCTCCCTCATCTTGGCACAACCCTCCTTGCGTGCTCTTCTTGGCGTTGTAGCCTTTGTGAAAGTGTTGGTAGTTGCCCTCCCAGAGGCAGCAAAACCCAACTGGGGGCCGAACCGTGCTTTCCCCACCTCTCAAGCCCTAGCAGAAGCATCCCCACGTGCTGAAGCGAAGGTTGGCCCAGCCGTTCAGCCCAGAACGTGCTCGGTGGCCTGGCCAAACTCGCCCAGAGTTTTGTGCCAAGAGTTTAACCGTCGATTGGCATCCCAGCCATTTCGGACGTCGACATGCTCTGGTTTTGCCCGTGAACCAGGCATGAACAGCCATCGAAAAGCCCTTCTTTGAAGAAGTAGAGGCCAAGATGAAGAAAAAGCCAGGAATTGGCTGAAAAAGCACCCAAAATACCCGCAAGAAGGTAGCCATTATCACCGCAGAGACCGGTGATCAAAGCAAACACATGGATCGATGTGGATCACGTGATCATGTTGCTGGAGATTACACGAATCCAAGTGTATATGGGTGAAAAAGACCGAAGAGCTTCCACCGCTGCAGCTGGTTGCTCGCGCACTTTGATCCGCAGTGATCTCGGCATAGTGAGACTCGAGTTTGGGCTCAGGATCGATTCGCGGAGCCGGTGTGGGACTGGACATCGTGGCCGCCTTTCCGCTGTTTCTGCCGCAGAATCAGTACCCAGACTATTTTGTGCAAGTTGGACGCATCCGCCGCATCACGGATGTGAGCTGGACAACTTGGCACGGTGTTACAGCCCTTTGACTTGCAGCTGTGCACGGCTCAGTCATCGATTTGTTTTCGTTTCCCGGTTTTAGTGGTGTGGATTTTGTATTGCGGGTACAGAATGCTCACGATTTTCCGCCGCGCTCGTCTTTTTGAGTGGAATCTTGCCAGTACTGCAAGATCGCTTCAAGGAAAAAGCCGCCACAAGTGCCCACAACTTTCGACTGAAAGTGAGTTGATTTTGCCTTATTCTCAGGTGCAATTTTTCCAGATTGACGAATCGCGAACGTCATTGTGGCCAGAAGTTCTCTGTGAAGACAGCTTTCTCCGCTCCCAATGGTCCGAAACATCTCAAACCGGTGTATTCAAGGTTTTATTGGTTTCTTTGACCCCGCCTAGGCTTGATTTTCGACATTCACTCGCTCCATGCGCAGAAGTTCGCCCCAGAACTCGGCTCCTTTTGAAAGTGCGGAAGGCACACGTTTTGTAAAGGGAATTCTAGAGCCCTGCGCATTTCTCTGTCTCCGCGCTTGATAAAAACCAGCTTCTGCCTCGCTGTGTTGAGCTTTTTCGCCTCTATTAGCTGAATTTCTCGATTCAAAGAGCTCAGTATTGAGAATTCTTCTTTTTGCCATCAGTCGTATCAAGAATAGAAACCTCGGTGATCCCTGCCTTTCGAATACCCGCATTTTTCATTTGAAAAAGATTTCCATGACCCCTCGTTGAAAGTAAAATGGCATTTCGCAGCTTTTTCTTGAATCGATTGCTCTTTCCAAATCGTTTTCAGTTAGGAAGGTCCTGCGAATCCTAACAAGCAAGAAGCCATCAGATTTCGTTGCGCGGCGAGGCGCGTCTAGCGCCCTTTTTCTCCGTTTCTCGTCCCCGAGTTGTTTTTTGCCCCGCCGTACCCTCCCCCGATTCATCGCCTTTTAGGGATGAAGTTTTTTGTAATTTTCCCGCATTCTCACCCGCTCATAAAGCAATAACTTTGGAAACCCGGACTGGCAATCCCTTTCGCCAAGCTTTTTACCCGCTACGAAGTTGACAAGACCCGCTTTTCTCTGTTTTCTTTCGCTACGCCGGAATTTGCTTGTTTCCCCTGCTCTCGCGCCCAAATTCTGCTTTGAAAGCTTCGAAATTTCGTCGCTAACTCTTCTTTCATCGTAAAGGCCTTTTCAAATTCGTTTTCCATCTCGAAAAATGCTTTCCCTGCAAAATGCTGCTTTTTCAGGGTTGATTTCGCCTCAAAAAACGAGCGGAACAGCTTTTTCGTTATGTTATAGCTCCGCCCAAAGCTATGCTTTTGAATGGCCGCCGCAAAACAGCTCATTTCTTTTGCACAAAAGTATTGAGAGCTTTATTTTCAATGATCGAAAACGTTTCCCGCGATACTTCCACATTTTCGCAAAACTTTGGCCCTGCTTCTCGCCTAAAAATTGCCAAAACGACGCTGATCCCTCCGCGCTCCCGCATTGCAATTCCTTTTGCTCTGCTTTCCACGTGATTCAAGTTGATTGATTTTTGTTCTCAAAGTTCTGGTTGCCCTCGCCAAATTTTGATTACATTTCACGTTTTCCAGGTAGCATGGCCTGACAAGCCCGGCCCGCCCTTGCGCTGATGGCTTCCAACGAGGATCGGACCCGCGTTTACGCTGCCCTGATTCTCCAAGACGATGAAGTCGCGATCACCGGCGACAAGATCTCCACGCCCCTAAAAGCCGCCAAGGTTTATTTCGAGCCCTGCTGGCCCGATCTTTTCGCCAAGGCCCTCGACGGAGTCGATGTCAAGAACCTGATCGCCTCGGTCCCGTCTGGCGCCGCATCCGGAGGAGGCCCCGCTGCTGATGCCCGGATTCGCAAGTTCCCGCCCGTTCAAGTTCTACACGCGCTCAAGGAGTCAAGTTCGTCAAGGATGTCTTCACGCTCGTCAAGTTCTTCTCTTCCCCACCACCGACTACGTGCTGTTCAACGCCTCAAAATGGTCAAGCTCGTCAAGGATGTCTTCATCATCGTCAAGCACTTCTCGCCATCTCCACCGACTTCTTGTCGCTCAACATCTCAAAGTGGTGAAGCCCGTCAGAAGGATGTCTGGAACAAGTGGTGAAGCTCGTCGTCAGCAACGCAAGTTCTACGTCGCCGTCGTCACCGACTACTCGATGCGCAGCTACAAGACAAGGAATAAAAGAAAAAGTAAACTCTTTTCCTCGTGCCGTATTGTAATTCTGTGCCCGTTTTTCATTTTCGCGACTTTCTACGTTGTTATTCTCGTTCCCGCATTTCCTTTTCATGTGTATTCCTTCCTCTTCCCGGCCCCACCTTTTCGCTGTATCCCCCTCGCCTCGGCCCGCCCGTGCAAGACGATGGAACGCGAGAAGGTGCACGGGCCACCACAAGGATTGGATACGACACGAGGAATGGATGTGAAACGACGCCTACAACAAGGAATGGATACGAAGATATGTGCGCGACAAGGAATGCAAGTACGTTCGTCCTCTCTGAAGGAAGGATGTCTGCCCGTCGATCGACAAGTCTGCATCAAGCAAAGGAAACTCGTCCGCAAGCTCATCTACCCGTCAAGCCAAGGAAAAGTACGTTTTTGGAGAGAAGGATGGATGCCCGAGCGTAATTCGTCTACGTCAAGCCAAACCCGTGGCCATGCTCGTTACAAGATCGCCCACAAGCTCGTCCATCGCCCAAGTCGGATCGGTTACAAGTACGTTTACGTGAAGGAAGGATGCTGTCTCAACGTCGCGGACGACGTTTATTCCGGGGGGTGCCGAGTTGGGTTGAGCCCCTGCTCCCCTTCCCCTCGAGCCCCGTTTCGCACGAGTACACCGCGATACCGTCGCCGACGCCACGGCGCGCGCTCAAGAATCGAAGCCGCCCAAAGAAGAGAGCCCCCTCGCAAGTCGGTCGCGGATTTTTGGGGTTTGCCGCACCCCGTTGCCGCCGGTCTTTCATCTAATTCCCCGTCCCCTAGATTTCCCCCTCTTTATCTGCCCCCGTAACTCCTTTTTAACATCGTTTCCCCCTCTAAATTCTCACTCTCCTCAGTTTCCCCTGCGTAAATTATTCGTAATAAACTTTTCTCACTAAATTATTGTCTTTCTAATCACATTCTAGTTTTCTAACATGTTTTTGGGTTTTCTCCTAGCGTCTTGTAAGGCGCAGCGAGTTGTTTGCGGAGTTAGGAGCTCCCTCATCTTGGCACAACCCTCCTTGCGTGCTCTTCTTGGCGTTGTAGCCTTTGTGAAAGTGTTGGTAGTTGCCCTCCCAGAGGCAGCAAAACCCAACTGATCGATGGGTGTTGGTTTTTATTTACTGTATGCATTAATAGAGCCTGCAAAGAGGACTTTGTTCCTTTTCATTCTTCTTGGATTTCACTGGATAGTGATCACAGAACTAGCCCGTCAATTGGAGTGGCGCGTTGCCCAGAGACAGCTACGCTTGGCTGCACTGGACATCTTCCCTGTGTGCACGCGTTTTAGATCGTCTCTCTCTCTTCGCAAGAGCTTGCTTTAAAGCGCACGTTCAGGGAGGGGCCGTATACTCGATCCAACGTATACACCCTATGGACGTAGGGACCGCGCGCACTGCCTGCCCGTGCTGTGACAGGCCATTCCCCTCCTTTGCGGCCTGGGGCGCCCCTCGCCCCCTCGCCAGGTTGTAGCTGTGGCTGACTGGCAGGGCCGTAGCTGACCCAAAATTTCGGGGGGGGGCGGCAAGGGTTTCGGGGGGGGCGGCGGTTCAAAAACATCTGCCGTTTACCGCCCTTTTTCAAAAATTTTCAAAAATCATAAGGGTCCCCCCTTATCATTTTTTCGACATCTGCAGATTTCGGGGGGGGCGGCATGCCCCCTCCGCCCCCCCTCCTACGGGCCTGCTGACTGGTATCCATCCGCGCCTCCCGAGCGGAGGGCCCGGGTTCGACCCCTGGCCGCGGCAAAAATCTTTGCTTTTTTCCAAAAAACGTCCCTGAACGTGCCCTTTAAAAGTTTATAAAACCGACAATTCATTTAACCAAATTTACCAATTTATGAAACGCGTTTTTATCAAATCTTCCCTGGATAAGGCCTCGATTTGAGAAAGAAGCACCCTGTTTTTCCGCGTGTTACTAAAAAACACGACGTGTCGGGGTCATGCGAATACCGTTAAAATTGTTTACCCACAATTTATTTGTGCGGTGATGGTGCTTGGCAGCGGACCTAAAACAGCTGATTAGATGAATGTTTATAGGCAGGCTTCGCCCGGGAAGGATGAAGCCGACTGCAAAGCCTTTTTTCCGTTTTTGCCCCGACCAACGACTTTAAGAATATGGCTATTTCGCGGGTTCTGTTGTGTTTTGCTGCCTTTATGATTACGGTAGGGGTGGATAATCTAAAAAACCATTTAGACGACAGTTTTACAGCTTTTAAATTCAATTTTAAGTCTTATTTTTCTGATTCGTACGCAGCCAATTTTTTACCTTTCCTCATTGCCACAAAATCTTGATAAGGCCGGCAAATCTGGCGATTTCGGCAGGAACGCCGAATTTTAAAGGCCAGATAAGCGCTCAAAGCACGAAAAATGAATAAAAGAATGTTGACTATTTCTGAAATGAATTTTGCGAATTTTAGTACCTCCACAGCGTTGCACTGCCAAACTTCGAGCCGGTGAAGCCTTTCAACATTTGCCCGAAAAGCGATGACGGGCGTTGTCGATTTATGGCGGTTCGTTTTTTAGTTATCTCTCCCTCTCTCTCTCTCCCTCTCCCTCTCTCGCTCTCTCTTTCTCATCACTCCAAAGACTAGAAATTCTGCTTCAGAATCTCTGCTCGATGCCGGCGGTAGATTCGGATTGTCCGATGACGTGTCATAAATGCGCGCCGCCGACGATGGCCATTCCAACATGTAATTTTTATGGTGAATTAGGGTACAAAGCCTCTAGAAAGAGCTCTTCAAACTTACAAAATACCTTTACATTAATAACTCTCAGATGATCCTTCAAACTGCGCAAATCAACACGAGGCCTGCCCGACCTATCACAATTGGTGCTTCATGGACAAGTACAAGGTGTTGTGCCCGCATACGTGTGGCATGTGCTGATTGGATTTCACTGACCTTTTCGCATAATCACGTTTTATTACGCTTCCAGTTTTATTAATATTATGCTTCAAATGTAAAATTGGTGCTGCCTTTCCCGTTAATAAACGTCCGGAAATTCGTATCCAAAAAGCACGTAATCATAGAAATACACGTACAACAAATTCCGGCGTATCTTTTTCGAGTTGAGGAGCTGAAAAAGAAAGAAATTGTTCATTTAATCTCTAAGTTTTCGATACCTTTTCCGCATAGTAATTTCGCTGAGGTTCGAGAATTGTTTGGTGGCCGGTGAAATTGTTGCCCATATCCTAAATGGTATTCTTGGAGGCGTAGCTAGCTTAAGCACAAGCCAAGCCCAAGCCAAACCTAAGTCAAGCTTAAGCTAAACCTAAGCAACGCCGAAGCCAAGCCTAACACTCACCTCAATAATTTTGGATACGGTGCTGTTTTCCACATTTGCCTTCTCCAAATGAACCTTCAGCTTTTCAGAAAATTTCCTGCCCTGTAACGGGGAATAATCGAGATACTCATATTCCTGCGTGGCTCCCTGCAGATTGCAATGCCTAAAAAAATCGTAAGTAATGGTTTACGCGGCCCAAAATCGTAGTTTGTAGCGAATAAATGCGCTATATTTTCCGCATACCAATTCTGAGGCGCCATATGCCAGAGAGCATTCCCCTCGACGGTATGATCTCCTGATGCGTATCTTTGAGAGTGGATGAGTAGCATCTCCGAGACGCATTCCATGTTCTTGTAGCAGCCAAAGCAGTCATCGAGTCGTCTGGAAAGTTGATAAGTCTAATGAAGCTTTCACGCAAATTTGATGATTTTCTCCGTAGTTACTAGGCAAATAAAGTACTCTAAAAACTCGGTGCTGTATCTATTATAAAAAGCACCTCTCGTGGCTGTTCCTTACAAGGAGATGTTTTGAATTGATTTTGGGTCGGCACTAGGCGTGTTTTGTGCAGATTTTGTGGTGATTTTGAAAAAGTTACAAGGCTTTTTAGCTGGAAAAATTCCCAACTTGCATCGATTGAATGCCTGCCAAAGATGTCAGAAAAAAATCCAGGCCAAACCCGATCGCTGATGACGATCAGAAAAAACGACGGTCTGTTTTACACAAAATTTTCCAAACTTACGAAAATCGGTTTTCGTCTCATTTTTGGGGAATTTGGAGTTTTTATCGATTGACGTACCATCATGATTGGTCCATTGCCAGCGTGTTATTCACGATTTATCTGCATTAATTTGTTTAACTCTACATCAAAATTCCTCCCGATTCTTGCAAAAAGAGATTGTCAGGGCCGCGCGAACGCAGCCCCCCACGCAAAAATTTAGCTGTAGGCGAACCCCAACTCGGAGCTGCCTTACAGGTCAGCCCGGCCGAAAGTGCAATGGCCGAGCCTCGCCATAGAGGTCCCGTCTTGTTGATCACGGGAACCTCCCAGCCAGGTAAGTTTATGAGGGGCCGCGGTGGGGAAGATCTGTTCGCAGAGAGAACCAGGCGGGGGGCGAGTGGGGATGGGTGAGAGAGCATGCGGGGAGCGCACATAGAGGGGGTCTCTGGTGACCACACACCCCCCGGGCCGTTCCCTTCCTTTTTCTGCTGACAGCTAGGGGGAAGGGGAAATTCACACAAAGCAGAGATAGTGGAAATTGGGCGGTTGCGGAACCGTTTTTAGCGTATTTTAACGGAATTTTTCGAATTTTCGACTATACCAAATTTGAAGGGTTTTTGCCAGGATTTTAAAGTCAGGCTATTTTTATGGGCTCGAAAGTAATTGCTAGAGATTTTTTTAAGATAATTTTGAGAGGCAGACAATTTTTTAAACCCTTAAAAAAGATTTTACAGCGTTTTTGATTTTTTAAATAACTTTGGCACAGAATTTGGTAAAAAGAAAGTGTGATTTCTGGAATTCATCAGTATTTTTGTTAATTCCTCTGAAAACCCACACAATACAAAGCATCAGAAAAGCCGACAGGAAACGTTCCATCGGCTCTCGGGTGAGAATCAAGTTCTGGCGAGCGGTATCGCCGGAAATCCGGGCCTGAACTTGCACGAGGGTACTGTAGCGAATCGGGAGGGCACAGTCTCTAAAAATACCTGAATTAGTCAAAATTGGTTCATAGCTAAACATGTGTAGACTTCAAAACCCGCCTCTCCATCGATTCTGTAAGTTTTCGATTTTGCATGCCCTTTTCAAGGGATCGATTCAGCAGGCAAAAAATTCGGGTCATCAGGGTTGACATGTTTTTTGGGATTAAGCAGATGGAAAGACGATGTCTAGTCGATACCTGAAAATGGTTATCTCTCTGCCTCCCTCTGCCTCTCTCGCTCTCTCGCTCTCTCTCTCTCTCTCTCTCTCTCTCTCTCTCTCTTACCAAGTATTCCGGATACATCGTCGTGAACGGCTTGACAATCGCCTTTGTTCCCCCATTGTCCATCAGCTCCGCCCGCACATCATCTATTTTTGCGCCCAATTTACTAAATTGTGACGATTATACAGTATCTGTTAGTATAGGTTAGTGATGGGGTTATTCAAATCAAATCTTGACTCAAATCTGAGAGCTCAAATCTGAATATTTGAAGGCAAAAATTTCAATTTCAAATCGGCGGATTTGATTTGAAATCCCGTGGGCGAGTTCAAATCGAATCTCGAGGATTTGATTAAGCTTCCGGTCCTTAATCAAATCTTATGGAGATGCCGGCATGCAAAACATAACAAAATCGCTATGGCCGAGCTGGCGCGAACCGGAAATGACCTTGATTATGCATGCCATCATACAATTAGCATCCGCGTAATGAGCTATTGATTTTTTCGACTTCTTTCAAATCCTCGTTCATATCTTCAGATTTGAACTCAAACCTTGGAAGTTCAAATCAAATCGATTTGATTTGAAGTGCTGGAACCTTATTCAAATCAAACCGTCAGATTTGATTAGGCGGATGCAAATTAGATTTGAGATTTGAATAATACCATCACTAGTATAGGTTAAGCTACCGCCAGGCAGAAAACTCAAATACAATACTATAAGTTAATCTACCACTCGTAGAATTCTAGGCGCCTACCGGAAATCGTGATACCGTTGTTCTAGCCGCTGAATCTCCAGCTCGATCTTCAGCTGTTCGTACCTGAAAAAATTAGGGCTTGCGAGCTGAGCAGAATCATGTAGATTTTTTTCTTCTAAAGACTTTCTTTCAAAGACCCATTTTCGCATCGCGCCGTGCAAACCATGAAAAAAGCGTTAGAATCCGATCGGAAACCAATGGCATCTGGGGCGTCGCTCTCCTTTAGTACGATACGCACCTATGGACAACGAGCAGCTTGTGGTAGGTGGCAAAGCACAGTAGGACTAGTAGCGAATATTCGGTGGCTAACATTGTTGGGCGGATCTCCATTTTTTAAGGCTTGGGCTTATTAGGCTTATGCCTGGCTTAGGCTTGGCTTAGGCTTAGGCTTAGGCTTAGGCTTAGGCTTAGGCTTAGGCTTAGGCCTGGCTTAGGCTGAAGCTTAGGCTTAGGCTTAGACTGTAGCGTAGGCTTAGGCTTAGGCTTAGGCTTAGGCCTGGCTTAGACTGAAGCTTGGGTTTAGGCTTAGGCTTAGGCTCAGCTTAAATTGGCTAAGGCTCAGCTTGCGGCCAGCCGTAATGACAGCTTCCACCTCGAACCCACGTGCCGCCCACGCTCTAATCCCCCGATTTATTGCCATTTTGGGGCGGGAGATCGGACTTTTGGTATGGGCTAATGTGCTTAGGGGGTTAATGGGTGAAAAATGGGAATAGTCAGGCTGCAAGAAAAGGCCAAAACCACCTTTCGGCGTGGGAAAGGCACAAAATCGCCAACTCCGATCCACGCCCGATCTCCTTGTGGCAATGGATCAAAAATTCGGCAGGCGATTTATTGGGCCGGGGGGCGAAGATCGGGCGTTGAAGAGCAAGTTTTAACGTGTAGGGATTTACTTTTGCGCTCAGAATAAGTTCGTGAATTCCGTGCTAACTTCTAGTTACTTTTTCGGATTTAGGAATACGGTAAGGACGCCGTAGTTAAGGTACCGAATACGGTAGGAATCAGGTTATTCACTGTTAGCGGGGGTGGGGGTAATTAATTGTGAATTTTCCGCGTATACCTGCATTTTAATAACATCTAAGGTGTTTTTCTAGTGTGTTCAGTAGTTTTTATTGGGGGAAAATCTAGCTAAAATGTTTGATTAATTTGATTGCTAGCAAAAAATTTTACAAACCAATTAAAATTTTTGAAAAATTAGTTTTACCTATTTTGTCATTTTTCATATTGAAAAATTTTTTAAAGCAATCGTTAAGTAAACCACCAATAAAAAAGTAATTTTTTCGTTACCTATAAATCCAGCACAGCCGTAGAAATGAGCCCAGAATCAGGATGTTGTATAGAATGCACCGGTAGGTGGGGCTGCAACTCTTTGTCAAATTTCGACAGTTCATCCGGGGAATCTGAGGGTCGAGCTGACGTTTGAATACGGAACTGTCCTTTCGACGGAGGGTCAGCCCAAGAAAAACGGCCGGCAAAAACTACGGTATTATGGGCTGATTTATCGGCGAGATGGGTGCGAGGGATCGTCTCGAGATCCGTGGAATCCTCAGGTCAGCTTGGCGAATATTTCGCTGAGAATTGGTGAAAATTGTTTTATCGTATCTAGCGTGTCTGTGGCCGGCAAAAAAAGAATTTCAGGCCAAACCAGGGAAATTTTTGATAGCTTTAGGGGTTCATTCGAAAGAGCGCTTTTTCTGAGCTCGATGCGCTAATTAAGTTTTGCAAAAATCATATTCTATGGCGTTTTAAAGGACCTCTAAAGTCCGGAATTTTCGGGAATTTCGCGCCAGAATATGTACTGTAGCTTCGTAAATATGGCCATTTCGGGCAATCTAAAACAGACTCGTGGTCAGTTCAAAATTTTGTACAAGGTGGGCTTGGCCTCATTTCGAAATGCGACCTTCACTTTACTCACTACACTTCACTTTCGGCCTTTCCCTTGTAAGCTGATATTTTTCCTTCGGTAAGATCGAATTTCCGGCATCCCTGACTTCCATGTGCCTTGAAAAACTGGTATTATACCGAATACGCCAAAATATTTCTGTCATCACTTGCAGATCAAAAGTGTTTGAACCTTAAAAATATCTTGGCAAGCTAGCAGTACCCATTTGGGACAGCTCTTGGAAATCCATGACCCGTGTGCCTTGGGGGTACTGTTGCGTATGTGGCCCTAATTGCACCCAAGCGATGGCTCGAGTATGACCCAATACTGGCGAGAGAGCGCGTGAATGGAGAGAGAGTGAAGCGGGGGACTGTCTTTGATCTTGGCCGCTAGATGGAGATCGTGGCCCGAGATGCCCTGGGGGTATTTGTGTATTGGCAGAATGACGGGGAGAAAGAGAGAGAGAGAGAGAGAGAGAGAGAGAGAGAGAGAAAGAGAGAGAGAAAGAGAGAGACCGTGTGACGGCATTCACGCATCAATGACTTTGCATAACGGCCGACGGTATGTGTGAAGTGCCAGGGTGACCTCGGCTTTTTCACCCAACTTCTTGAGAGGATGTAGGAGAAAATGCGGATCTTCAAAAAATCGAGATGACATGGCTATGGATTTAGTAGGCATTGAATTCCTAATGTTTTATGGACTTTCTACAGCGCAATCGATTACATCCTTTTATGCCAGGAGAAACCCTGCTAGTTTGCCTTCTTTGGAGGCTGAAAAAGAATACCAGCTGAAAATCCCGACAAGCCAGAATCCCGACAAATTTCCGCTGCTATTTTAGTCGTTGGTACGACTCGCTAGCCCTTTTAAACAATTTTACAGGTCTGGGTTTTGGTTGTCGAGATTTTGGTTTCTCTGGAATTTGGTTGTCGGTCTTTTGAGGCGGGACTTTGGCTGTCGGGATTTCGGTTGTCGGGATTTTGGCCTATCGGAATTTTAACTTGCCGGGATTTTGGCCTGACAGCATTTTAGCCGTCGGGATTTTATGGCTGACAAGGGGTTGGTTGGTCGTCGGGATATTACCTCTCGAGATTTTGGGTGTCGGGATTTTGACCTTTGCGAATTTCGGATGTCGGGATTTTTACGTTTTCGCTTTTAAAGACATTTGCAAGCTGAGCATACTGTAACCACTTACCGTATACCGTCCCTCTCCAGTCCCTTTAATCCTCACCACCCATCCACATCCGGCCCCCCCCCCTTTCGTTTTCCCTCCCTAGAGGGTGCTGCCATGGTCGGGGTTGGTGTGTGGTGCGTGCCCTGAGGACATCGATCGGAGGTCAGTCCCTCTGCCCACAGTCCCTGCGCGAGAGAGTGGGCAATTGGAGAGTGGCGAGAGATAGCGAGGGCCAAGCCATGGTCCTCCCCGGCACCCACCAATCCCCCTCTACACCCTCACCACCAGCTGTTCTCTTCCTCCTCCTCTCCCAACCAACACAACATCATACTGCAATTTGGCTAAAAAATTTTTTGGTATTTGGTGCTTTCATTAATGTGATGATATGTTGTGTGAATCCGCGCGTTTACTATACCGGCTATTTAGGTTTCTGCAAATTTGTTACATATGAAATTTTAAGCGGAAAAGAGCTGACTTGTTTCTACACTGGTTCTCTCGCACCTTCCCTCTCTCGCTCTCCCTCTCTCTCCTTCTCTCTCACTCTCTCTCGTCTCTTCTACCATTCTCTGATATTCTCGCTGTATCTCTTTCTTTCACTCTCACCACCTCTCTTTCTCTCTCTCTCTCTCTCTCTTTCTCTCTCTCTCTTTATCTCTCTCTCTGTCTCTCGCCCTTCGCGGGGCGAGAAGTTTAGGCAAGCTAGCAGAGATTTTTGGAACAGCTCGAGCTCTGCACATTATCTCTCTCTCACTCTCTCGCTCCTCGGCCCAATCATCCTTGTTTCCACCATTCCTACATCCATGTGCCCATTTTCCCATCACTCCCATTGCGTGACCTGGCCGTCGGCTGTGTTTTTTTCGGGGCGTATTTTATGCGGAATGATACTACGCGCCCACGATTCGGGGTGAGGGGCGATGACTCGGGGTGCTGGGAACCATGAATGGGCCAACGAGGCACCACCAATTCAGCACACCCCATTGGGGAGACGGTAATGCCCCGGAAATCGAGCCATCCACTTGCTTGAATGGGTTTTATTGTTGGGGTTGAGTTTATTGGGGGTTCCCTTTATCTAACGCGCTCTCTCTATCTCGCTTTCTCGCTATGTCTATCTCTCTCTCTCTCGCTTTCTCTTTCGCTCTCTATCTCTGCGTCAAAATTGTCTAATCCGGACGCGGGCGGGCTAGCAGAAATCCTGTAGCAATTCGCGATAGCCTGTCGGTCGGTTTCTTCGTTACAGCTCGTGCTTTAACTCGATCTCACTCGTCTTCTATCACTTGCTCACTCACTCACCTGTTTCCTCCCACTCTCTCTCTCTCTCTCTCTCTCTATCTCTCTCGCTGTCTATCTCAGCAGCGAAAGCTGAATCTAGCGCCTTTTAGGCATCACAGCCATTTTTGCATACCAGACCCTGGCGGAGATTGAAATCAGTATCCCCTAGCCACTCAAGCAATTAGAGGCCATCCCCCAAATGGGGCAGAAATGAATGAATAGGGGGAATCCGGGGTGAGAGAGAGAGTGAGAGAGAGAGAGAGAGAGAGAGAGCTAAGCAACGGCCTCCACCTCTTCCACCTCCTCCTCCTCTCGGTGGCCGCGTTTTTCCGTGCCGATACGATCGACGGCCCCCATCGGAAAAAACGGACGTCCCGGTTGCAAACTCACACAGGCAGCCATTTTTTCGAGATTTTTAGCGTGTGTTTTGGCATGAAATTTCGTTAGTTTTTCGCTTCAATGAGTTTTAAAGGACATGGCAATGTGGCTTACTCAAAGATAAGCTAGCAAAGATTCTTTAGGAAAATCCTAGAACATTAATCTTTCTCCTTCACTAGTCCCTTAAAACGTGATTTCGGGGCAGGCTAGCAGAGAACCTTTGAGAGAAGCTGTTAGCGGGAGTTGAGCTTTTGCTTATAATTTTTTATTGGTTCTTTGCAAGTACTTGCACGAGCATAATCTGCTGGGCAGGCTAGCAGTGATCCCTTGGGGAAACCTGAGAGTATCGCCTGTCACTCCAACAGCCAACTAGACTTGCGCAACAACCCACAGATAATCCATCATTACGCGTTGACGGGTCAGTGACACGGGGTGGAGCTGCTGTTTCCGGTGACATGGCCCCTGACCTGTCACTTACGCTTCCTTAAGCATCACTTCTAGCTTGCTGCGGTCTTATTGCCTCACTTCCTAATCATCTTTGCTAGTTCGCCGTTTAGACCTGGCCCGATTCCTCAAGGGTCTTTGCTAGCTTGTCTGGGAAAACGCTAAAATGCCGCCATACCAAAATCCCGACAGGGCAAAATACCGACAGCCAAAAACCCGAGAGGCAAAAATCTCGATTGGCCAAAATCCGGACAGGCAAAATCCCGAAAGCCATTTAGCGCCAAAGGTCTGTCGGGATTTTGGCTTTAGGGGTTTTGGTTGTCGGTATTATGGCTTGTTGTCGGGATTTTGGCTGTCGGAATTTTGGCTGTCGGGGCCTTGGTTGGATTCCAGTTTGTACTTCTCTCGGAATTTTTGATACCAAACGATCTTTGCTAGCTTACCTTCTCCGTCTCACTTGCCCGAGGCTCCCTTTAAAGAAGCGCGGAAGACGTTATCTCAGTTACCAAAATCCTTAGCACGCAATTCACCGACCCTTTAAAGGATCAGTGAAGTCAAAACTGCATCCAAAAACCATTTTCCTTTGAACACCTTCCGCTCACCAAACCGCGCCAATCCGTTCACCCCTCTTTGTCCCAACCCCCCATGTCGGGGCACCGTTTATGGGTAGCGTCGCGTAGCTTTTGCGTAGACAAAGGCAGTAATGGTGGGGAGCTAGGGGGGAGGGTGCCCCCCTATATTGCGCAACCCATCCTCCCGATCTGGGGCCCTGTGGATAATGGGACTCGAGCGGGCCATCCTCGGCCATACCAGGCCACAGATGGCCTTTTCCAATCCCTAGGAGGTGACCGTCATTCCGTGAAATAGAAGGCTGGGATCTCAGTAACTCTCTCGCCCTCTCTCTCGCTCTCTCTCACTCTCTCTCGCACTCTATCTCATCAAACCTATCATGACCCAGCTGACAAGATTCCTGAATTTCGGAATTTTATGCTTTGTCGGCATTTCACGCTTTCGGGATCTTGTGAGTTTGTCGGCATTTTCAGCTGCCTGCCTATTTCGATTTCCTTTCATCTGTCGGCATTTTTAAGCTGATGGTCGTTTCGTTCGACCCTTTTTTCCTCGATCGCCCGTCGATTTTTCGACTTTATTTTGTGTGTCGGCATTTCTTGACTTGTCGGTATTTTTTTGTCTTGTCGGTTTTAGGTGCATTTGTACTGCATTTTCGGGCAATCTTAGCTACCCCGAATTTGAGTCTCTCCCTCCCAGAAATAAAAATTTCCAGGGTCTCCGGGTTTTTCCACTGTCGGTATTTTCGGGATTTGTCGGTATTTTGGACGTTTCGAAATCATCCGGCTTTTTCCCGAAATTCCTACCCCAAAAATTCGTTTGCTACTCTGCGCCAGCCCATCACTAGGCCCCCTGGATAAGAATTCCCGCCAAAAAAACGCAACTTTCCGACGCCTCGTGCACTTCCCCCTGAGAATTCCCGAAGTTATTGTACTTTGCCGGGTACCAGTTGTGATACCACGTAGGCGTAGAGGGCAAAGATGTGGGTGGTGGCGAGGAATCTCCAAAAATACGCAAATATATGACGGGAATCAGCGCGAGACAGGCGCCTCGATAACGGCCCCGGCTGCACACTCCTTCCGGCACCCTCTAAAATGACCAATAGAAGAAGCCGCAACAATTTGGAGGGGAGTTATTGGGTGTAACTCGTACTGTTTGATCCGGAAAAATTTGCAACATTACTTAGGCTTGGCTTGGACTTGGGCTAGGCTTAGGCTTGGCCTGGTCTTGGCTTAAGTTTGTCCTAGGCTTGGCTAAGCTTGACCTAGGCTTGTCCTAGGCTTGGCTTAGGCTTGGCTTAGGCTTGGCCTGATCTTGGCTTAAGTTTGTCTTAGGCTTGGCTTAGGCTTGGCTTAGGCCTGTCTTTTCCTTGACTTAGGCTTGTCTTACTTGGCTTGTTAGACTTGGCTTTTCGTTTGCTTTCACTTGGCTTAGGGCTGACTTAGGCTTAGGCTAAGCCTGGGCTTGGACTTTGCTTGTCTTAGGCTTGACTTGGCTTTGGCTTGGCTTAGGGTAAGCTTATGCTCGGCTTAGGCATGGCTTAGACTAGATTCAGGATTGGCTTAGGTGCGCCTTATGCTTAGGCTTAGGCTTGAAGAAAATTTCCTTTTTCTTTTTGAATTTCGGATTTTTGTGGAATCCACTGACAGTGCCTTGCCCGTCCCTTTAAAACCCTGCCCTCCGGGCGGCTTCTAGAGTAGGTCCGTCCACTCTCCCAACCCGTCTGAATCACCCCTTTTCCCAGGCGCTTCCGGCAGCCAGCCGGCAGGCGACTACTGACATTTTGGGGAGCGGTTCCCCGGTTGGTGGTTGAGCATTGTCACTGTCCACAACAAAAGTTCAGCCTACTGGGCCCGGGAATACGCCGGTGGCTTTTGGCATTTAGGGAGTAGGGGTGAAGCTGGCCAGCGAGAGAGAGCGAGAGAGAGAGAAAGGAGAGAGAGAGTGAGAGAGAGAGAGCGAGAGAGAAAGGGGGTAGCTAGAGCCCAACTTCATATCGGTAATCCAACCCCTCATCATCCCCTTCAACCTACGGTAACCCGGGTCAACTTTTGTGAATTGTGCCCCTTGCGCAAACGGCGGTCGTGCTCCTCTCAAATTACGGTCTCCATCGCGCGGTCCCATTGAGAAAGAGCCCCCAAGGGCAGCCGATCTTTATGGCCCTCTGCCACCACCGCTAGGGGAGCAGCGGCCAGACTCACTCGCTCACTCACTCCCCCTCACTGACTGACTGACTTACTACCCTGCCAATCCTTCGATCGATACCGGCTTAAGTTAAGCCTAAGCTAAGCCTAAGCTAAGCCTCAGCTAAGCCTAAGCTAAGCCTAAGCTAAGCCTCAGCTAAGCCTAAGCTAAGCCTAAGCTAAGCCTAAGTTAAGCCTCAGCTAAGCCTAAGCTAAGCCTAAGCTAAGCCTCAGCTAAGCCTAAGCTAAGCCTAAGCTAAGCCTAAGCTAAGCCTAAGCTAAGCCTCAGCTAAGCCTAAGCTAAGCCTAAGCTAAGCCTAAGCTAAGCCTTAGCTAAGCGTCAGCTAAGCCTCAGCTAAGCCTAAGCTAAGCCTAAGCTAAGCCTTAGCTAAGCGTCAGCTAAGCCTAAGCTAAGCCTAAGCTAAGCCTAAGTTTCTCGGTACTGGAGTATTAGCGGGGGGGGGGCTAATTTTTCTCGATAGTCCTGCCCATAATTAAAATATAAACCATTTTTGTAACATCTTACACAGTTTGATTTTTAAAACTCATAAAACTTATAGAAACTTTAGATTTTTAGATTTTTTTGTTTCAAAATCAATGAAAATATCAAAAATTTCGAATTTTCCAAAATTTTTAAGCGCTTTTCTCCATCTAACAACAAAGGAGAATAGAATCCGTTTTCCCCTGCTAAAATCCCTCTCCCCCCCGCTAACAAGCCAGTACCAGCCAACCTAATCGATTTCTGGGCAATCGCTTGTCAATACTTTTAAAGGGATCAGGACATCAATGTAATACAGCAACGCGACAGTACAAAACTTGGTCTGTTGAAAGATTATTTTCCTTTGATTTCCCGCTGGGATTTAATTTACCATTAGTGCTTCCCGGTTGATAAGGTATCGAGGTCAACGGCAGCTCAGGATCATTTTTCAGGCTTTTCCGTAATACTAATTTCATATATACTTTAACTTTCTGTATTTTCACGTATTGATTATTGATGCCCCTTATTTAGCCGTGGGGCACGAATCTGCGGATGGTTTTGAGGTTGGGGCTGTATCCGCTGCTTGATACCACCTGGCATGCAGCTGGCCCCACCCCCAGCCACACTCACATATACAGGCAGTCTGCCCATCGTTTAGAGTTCACAAACGGATACATTAATCGATTATAAACCCTTTGGAAGGGCGGTAAATTGGGGTAGTGATTCGTACTACGATTGACAACCTTTGATTAGCCTGCTAATACCCTGTTGTGGTTATTCACAGCCTCGTGCTCATTTAGCAAAACTCAGCTAACACAGAAAAAGCTTACTAAGCCCCAAATAATTGCTTTTATAGTATCGTAAATTTTGGTATAATTTAATAGTGTTTTTGAAAACATTTGATTAAAATTCAAGAAGAAAAATAATAAAAACCCGAAAATGTCTTTTTAGCTGAAATTTTGATAGAAAACCCGGTTTGTTTAATTTTAATAAAATTTTAAGAGGTTTTTACATTTAGAAATAACAAAAAATTTGATAAACATTGTCTGTATTTATATAAGAAAAATTTGAATCCTAGGCGAAACTCAATAATCAACGCAACTCAAATAACTCAACCGCCGATAATGCGAAAGCATCGAATTTGAATTTTCGTTTTTTCTCGTTTTTCTTCTATATCTCTCTCGCTCTCTCTCTTTCTCTCGCTCTCTCTTTCTCTCACTCTCTCTCTCTATCTCTCTTTCTCGCACTCTCCTGCGTTCTATCGCGACAACTCGCGATCGAAATTTTATGCTCTGAATTAAAAAATAATAGTATACTTGAAGCGCGAAATTAATACGTTATTTGAACCATCGCTTCCAGTCCGAAACGATACCTCGTCCGCTTTTTGGAGCCGCAAGAACCAGGTGGTTTTGCTGGCAACCGGTTCCGATATGCAAATTTGGGGCTTTCGAGGCCGGTCTCCCCGGAAGGGTCAACCTGTTTTTTTGGGCCGTTCCTCTTCTCCTCCTTCTCCTGAAGCTCATCCACCCTGTCCTAGAGTTTGTCGTGCTCACAAAAGAAGCCCCTCCGCGAGTACTGCCTGTTTCCCGCAGCAACCCTTTCGCGCCAAAAGTTCTCCGCTGCCCCGTCCCGGTTTCCCCTGGGGAGTCGTCGTCCCGCTTGTTTTTTTTTCAGGCTCAATCTCGTCAGTCATTTAAGGAATACTAGGTATCTGCAGATACTCTCTTCTCTTACCGCCAAATTAAGGCTACAATTTTTTCCGATTTTCGGGAAACTTGGCTCGGTTTTGAGCCGGCAAGCTCTAAAAAGCATGAAAATCTAAGCCTAAGCCGAAGCTGATAAATAAGCCTATGCACAAGCCGAAGCCTGAGGCTGAGTCTGAGCATGAGCCTGATAATAAGCCATGCCTAAGCCCAGCTCAATAAACCGAAGCCCATCATCAAGCATAAGCCTAAGCCTAAGCGTAAGCCTAAGCTTCACCCTAAGCTGTAGCCCCAGCTCTACCAATTTTCTGCGTATTTCCATACCCATACGCTTCCCGATTTCCGCAAAAAAAGTCTTGTATGAGAAAACTGGATTTTTTTAAGCTTACCTATTTAAATGCCGTTGTCTCACTATTTACGATTTTTCTAATATTTCTATTATTCTTCGTTTTAAGTCAGAACCTTTCTGATTCGCTCGTTCTCTCTCTCTCTCTCTCTCTCTCTCTCTCTCTCCTCTCTCTCTCTCTCTCTCTCTCTCTCTCCCACCTACAATCCATTTTAAAGGGTTCCTGCCCCGCGGCGATGTCGGCCCCTTCCGGCCACCATCACCCTCTTCTATGCCTCGCCGATTCGTGGTCCACCCAACCCTGTTCATCTACCGACTATCTCGCGGATCAGGGCAATGATGGTACGGTGGATAAATTCAGCAAAACCGTGAAATTTCAGGCATATTTTCCTCGGCTTCCTCTTGCCAACCTCCGGCCCGTTGGCCACAGGCGTCGACGCCGAGGCGTAGCTTGGCGACGTCGTTGATACGGCCCGGCAACCCGAAGATGCACTCACCCCCGTTGGCGCAGGTGAGGGATAGTTAGCTTACTTTTATGAGCGAAATGAGCGAGAAAGAGAGCGAGAGACAGAGAGCGGGTTAGAGAGCGAGTGAGAGAGAGAGCGAGAGAATCCAACCACATCTTTTCTTCTCAAAACTTCTCGTTAAAGTGCAACCCCAAGAAAATGCGGCAAAACTCCCCGTTTTCCCGGATACCGTACCCCCAGGCGGGGCTCCTGATATGAGCCCCTCCAGAAGCAGGCTACCGCCCCATCATTCCAATGGCGCCTAGCCCCAGCCTGTTTGATAAGAAGCGGTAAATAGTGCCGATCCGATCACGGGGGGCATTCGATATGGCCAAAGTTGGGCTGAAACCTAGCCAAAAATCGGAATTTTCGCCACCTAAAGGGACTGGACAGCGTAAAAAAATCAGGAGAATCACGCATTAATAAAACGTTTATTAGCTAGGTATATTGGGCATTAAAAATGGTGCCTAGCTACTCATCTATAGTCTGTAGTGGCGCCAAAAAGGTGCGCAATGGCGGTAGGGGGATGCCCTGGGGCCAATGCGGACACCTGCCCATTTTTGGCGGACCACTTTTTGGTCTAACAACTTCGCTATTGGGTTCGTTAGATATTTTTCCGCTGAGAATTCTTTGCGTACATAGTAAGGTTATGGAATCTCACTATCTCTCTCTCTCTTCTCTCTCCCTCTCTCTTTCACTCTCGTTCTCTCTCTCTCTCCCTCTCCGTCTATTCCGTCGATATGTAAATCGCAACAAATCGGAACCCCCGATGTCCATTTCTCACGATCAGAATTGGGAATTGATGGGCATGGCCATCGCAGGGTCGTTTCCGCCCCAACCCGGCCATCGATTATTTATGCATACGCGATCGTGAGATTGGGGCATCGGCGCCCCGCGGGTTCCCGTCACGATCCCCTCCCTGTCCCAAATAATTTGCGTATTATTGGCAGCATCGGGATGAAATTTAGCACTAAGCGTGAGCACTAAAAGACCGTAAGAATTGCGTGCAAAGGAGTGTAGCGTAGCGTACTTCAAAACAAAATCGGTGCACAATCGTTTTGCTCGGTCGCTTCGAAACGGGAATTTTCAGAAAACCCTCCCGAACTCCTTGCTGACGCCGCTCCAGCGGACGCCGAACAACAACGAGAACATGTCGCCGTCGTCGATGATCGTCACCCCATCCCCGAATCGGTTGAAACGACAACGGCAAGCTGCTGGACTGTTGACGACGTTTCCGGAGATGAGCTATGGGTCGTCGGGGATAGAGGTGAGTCTCTCTCCCTCTCTCACCCTCTCTATCTCTCTCTCGAATCTACCTTCCTTTTCAGCCCTGGAAAGATGATGATCCTTCCCTCCTTGACGACATCGAAGCTCCAATGGAACGTCCGCGTGAAGATTTGATGATCTCCGGCGGCTCGATGACCCCTCAGCACCTAACTCCCCTCAAATCCGCCAGCTCCTACGACATTAAGTTGGAGACGCCCTCAAAATTGTTCCCTGGTGATGAACAGGTTAGTCAACGTACCGAAATCCCAACTTGAACTTTTCCAGTTTGACAGCGACTTCTTGTCGTTGTCGATGGACACGAGCGGGTGCTTCAGCTCGTTCGCCTCGTTGTCGTCGATCCACCGGATTCCGGAGATGTCGACTGGGCCCCTGGAGACAAGGTAGCGTCTCTATAAATGCTCCGCCGAGTTCAAGGCGTTCGGTTTAAGCCTAAGTAGTGCGACTTTTGGTATTTCAAGAGCCGACACCGAGTTCAATACGTTCTGTTCAAGCGTTAGTGCCGGGATCCTGGGAAATTCGGTCCCAAATAGTCACACGCGCCGACTGCAAGACGTTCAGTTCAAGCTTAGCTACTAGGACCTGTTGGGTCTAGATGTCCTATTAATCCGCCGACGACGGCAAGACGTACAGCTTAAACTACTTTCCCCGAAATTACCTTCGCTTTCAGTCGTTAATTTTGTTATTTCATAAAACTACAGTAACCACTGTGTAATACATTTGTATTTTGCAGCGTCTACAACGAGTCGCCCACCCGAAGCGTCAACCGCCATCATCAGCTGCTGTTCAGCCCCGACCAGAAGCCGCCGGTGCAGATCAAGAGGGCACGGAGGAGTCTGCCGGTGCTGCACAACCCGGTTGGTCATATTAAAAGGAGAGAGAGAGAACGAGAGAGAACGAGAGAGAGAGAGGGAGAGAGAGAGAGAGAACGAATTGCTTTGTCGAAACGTTTTAATTTATACATCATGAAAAATTTTAGCCGACACCGTCCTATGCCGCAGTTACGCCAATCCTGTCGCGATCGTTCAGCTCCAGAAATGTAAGTTGGCGAGAGAGAGAGAGAGAGAGAGAGAGAGATAGAGAGAGAGAGTGAGAGGGAGAGCGCGAGAGGGAGAGCGAGAAAACCAATGAGCATGAGTCCAGCAAATATCAAAATGAATCCAGGCCCTCGATGAAGCCCTCGCCAACCCACACCCCCTACACCGGATCCCGGTGCTCTACAAGGCCGAACCTGTTGACGACCCCTCAATCGGCGTCTTCAACGAGGAGAGCCGCGACTCGACGTCTAGCAGAATCGGCGTCCGAGATGAGAACGAGCCCCCGGGCGGCCGGAAGGACTTCAGCACACCGAAGAAGCCGCTGAAGCCGGTAAGCCGGGGGAACAAATTATTCTGCAAATATTTTTAATTTCTTAAACCCACAACTGGCCATTTGAAATTAACAGATTTAAAGAAGCAAAAGCCACTGAAACTACTCTTAATAAAACGAGACTTTCAGTTCGCCCGACGCTGGCTGAAAATCGTGTGCGGCACCACGGGCGCGCAGCGCGAAGTCACCCGGCTGGCCCACGATTTCTACAAGCGATTCGCCGCCGAGCAGCCCACCCAAGAAGCATAGTGCCACGAATTGTATCATTTATGAAAAGGCACTTTTTCCTGCCCCTAATATCGATTTTTAATGCCATTCCAGTCACTCGTTTCCCGAACCTCATCTCGATCTGACAATAAGTATTATCAGAAACCTGGAAATTCGGCTTTTAACGAAGCTGGACCCTTTTTGGATGCAATTTAAAGTCCTAAAGGGACAATAGCTAAAATGAAATCCATCAAGCGCATGGAATCAACGTGTAAAGTGGAGCGGAGCGTTTACAAAGCTCCAGTACGAGCCACCACTCAGCACACATCTATTCTGTGCGCTCATGGCATTTCTCCGAATTGTCTTTTTAGTTGAAAACTCTTTCAAACAAACAGTATTATTTTTTTTATTCTTTCCCACCGACTCCTACAAGTATATCCCATCCTTACCACTAGGCCATTTTTGCGCCGCCAAACGTGTTTTTGTGATCATCCCAGAATTCCCAGCTCTTGTAGGCTCCACTTTCTCCATTTCCGTGCTTTCTAGTCTTTTATGCAGCAATTTATCCGCGCGAAGCACCACCGGAAAGTAGACGCTATTAAAATGGCTTGTATTTGGCTCCAGCCCACCAGCTTTCCTCGTATTCTATATTTTGGTGCTCGCCCTCCCAGAATAAAGGCTTGAGATGTACATATTTCTGACACGGGTCAAGTGGTCACCTCGACGAACAGATGGACAGACAGACAAACACATGCTAAAATGCCAACCGTCACGACGAAAGAAGAAAAGAAACAATAAGCAATGTTTGCTCAGCCGTTAGGGCCCGCCATTCAACACCCAACGACCCGTTTTTTGAGGAGGCGAGGTGTTCTACAGGTCTGGGGGAACGGATATCTTCGAAAATCCTTACAAATTTCTGAAAACTGTGCGGAGCTCTATAATTCTTACATTTCGAAAAATTTATTTGATTTTTTCTAGAGATTTGTACTAAAATACTGTTTTAAAAACCACAAAATTACAGTTGCAAAAAGGTACCTGATTTTTCTAAGCAAATCTAATCCCGCTGCAAATATGAACTTTTGCGTTATGTTTTTCGAAACTTGAGATGATCAGGTTTCCGCTTTGAGGAGTGCTCAAAAAGATTCGCTGAGCCAAACACCTCACAACGCTGCTTTTTCTAACACAAGTTTGTCCTTAAATAAAATAAAATAATATGTTATCTCGCGAATAACATTAGAAAACTAAATTTAACTATTTAGATACATTTAACTTTTTACCCTGAGAAAACCGAAAACCAAAAACCCGTTTATTTCCTGAAAAATCTAAAGGCGCTGACATTGCTAGCATGAATAGAACCCCAAAAAAGTTTTTTTTTGCCGCGCGAAAACTTTCCCAGAATAACCCCGAGAAGCCCCAGACGCCGTCTTTTGAATTTTTCAACCCCCATTCCCGATGCAAAATGCCAGCAGCGCGTCTCCCTGGAAATCGTAAACACCTGAACGTTTTTTTTCGGTGCGCCATACATTGCTGATTTCATAATAAAATGATGTCGATATTTACGTGAAGCTATATTAGTCATTTTCTCGGGCCGGGGCCCATCCCACGGCGCCATTGAAACGAGCGCTTATTCCAGCGCGGGTCGTTGAAAATGCCCCATTTCCAGGACAATGGCTTTTCCGGGCCGTTTTCCGGGCTTTTCCTTTCTTGCCTGGCGCGAACACTTTATTATATTTATTTTTAACTGGGGATATAACGCAGAAAACGTGCGCTAAAGTGAAAAACGGCAGTCAGAAAATAGCACACGTTGCGCACGCTTTTTGTAATGCTACTAAATTTGAAATTTTAATGTGCCGGAGCATACTTTAGATATAAAAAGCTACTTTAGCGTCTCAATGCTTATAATTAATATTATTTTTGGGTATTTAGACGCTAAGCTAGCTCTTTTTACGTCTAAAGTAGTGATGGGGTTATTCAAATCAAATCCGGGGTCAAATCTCAGGATTTGATTAAGCTTCCGTTTCTTATTCAAATCTCCAAATTTTTGCATGCAAAGAGTTAAAAATGTATCCTTTCTTATGGTTTTGCGCTGAAAAAAGCCCTTTTTCCGTGCTTTGCATGCAAAAATTTGGAGATTTGAATAAGAAACGGAAGCTTAATCAAATCCTGAGATTTGACCCCGGATTTGATTTGAATAACCCCATCACTAGTCTAAAGTACGCTCTGAGACCATAACTTACTATTTAAAATGCATTATTATTCTTATTATACAAAGCGTGCGCCGTGCGGCATTTTCTAATTGACCAAATAAAAACTAATCGCCCGCCTTACCCCTTATAAAAATTGGCAGCATAGGCAGGGCAGAAAAATAGGCACAACCCTGAACTTTCCCCGCCCACCTGTGTGCCCTAGTTGTGCGCAGGAGCTTTATCTTCAAGGGAACTCCCCGAAATTGAAGCGCCTAGCTTCTAGGCAGACGATTCCCCCTCAAAAAAGGGCAAGAAAAAAATTATCAGCGTCCCCGCGAAGCCCGGGTCTGAGCCGGCTTAGCCGGTGTTCGCCCGGAGAAACCAGTGCCGGGCCTCACCGCGAACTCCCCCGCTAATTATTGAATTTTCTTCTTCTGGCTGATCCAACGGAATGGAACGGATGTGTAGACTCGAAATCTACAACCTTCATGAAGATTTGGTGAGGGCGGGAAATTTCGAAAATCTTAGGCCGGCTAACAACTTTTAACACACACTCCGAGCATTTTTTGCTTCCGGTGAAATCACACGGAGCTATACGTGTTCGGGCCCATAACTTTTAAGGTCGTTTTTGCTTCTGCGTCGTAAAAGGCCGCCCTTCGCTGTAGGGCTATCTCAATCGAGTACCGCTGTAAATTGACGCTTTCCAGGCAGAACCAGGGCTTTTCGCGTGGTGACCTGTTTCTACCTTGAAATTTGTATTTATTGCGACTTTTTAGAAGATGAGCAACGCCAGCGGCGCCGCCGACTACACGGAGTTTCAATCAAGACTGCGCGAGCTGGGCGGCGACCAGCTCGATCTGGCGAGAATCCGGCAATGTGTGGCTGATGTTACTTATGTGAGCTTTTTGTCAATTAGTTCCTTGCAGGTTCTGTAGAGATTTCAAGAAGACTAGCTTTTTTACCTTATCGGCCGGGTTCAGGCCGGTTCCCGGCGTTGACCGCCTGAGTCATACCTTTCTGTTTTAGTGCCAAATCGCGACGGTTACCCCGGGATGGAGAAAGAAACTGCAACGCCATGTCATAGAGCCGTTGGAAAAGGTAAAATCGCTCTTAGAGAGAAAATTCTGTATTTTAGATAAAACTCGCCGTCATCGTCGTCGATTTTCAGAATGATTTTGTGGATGGATCGCTGTCATTGAAGGTTGTTTTTTCTGGAATTAAACAACCTTCCGATTCTAGGCAGGCGATTCGGGCGAGAATCCAGATGACGCCGTGGGTCCTATCAACACATTACTCGCCGAACAGGTGAGCTCTTGGAAGGCGTTTTTAGAAAATTGGTGCTTTCGCATTATCGCGTGGACCATTTTTCCGTATGATCCGATTTTTCTAATCAGGGTTTGCACTATTTATACGTAAAACTTGACAAATTTTGATTAAAAATTACAAAACATCGATTTCCAATTTTCGAGTTTTTAGATAGGCTTGCACCAGAAATTTTGTTACATTAACTAGAAACTATCAAACTACTACGTGTTATGTTTAGGCGTTTCTGATTCGCCCCCCCCACCGATATAGCAAAAGTACCGAAAACTTTGTTCAGGAAATCGATCTCGTCGTCTACACGTTTGATTGGCACCCGGAGAACCACATTTCATTCTTCGACCACCGGCACGATGAGGATCGACAACTGGCGGCAGAAGAAAGGGACAGAGAGCCGGCCCTTTTCGACTGTGTGTCCTTCGCGAAACCGTCGTGCAAGCAGGTTCGGATCTTTCTTTAAAGGTTGTAAGCATATCTTTAGGTGCTCTACCCGTCACATTGTGTCCAGAATAGCGATGGTGCAAAGTTGGACAGCAGAATTCGCGTCGTCGAGAATGCGGAAATGATCTACAAGGGTACCGACGTGCTCACGGATTCGTATTCGGCTTTTTTTGACAATGCCAAGCAGGGAAGGTAGGGTTCAGTTCTGTGTTTTGAAGATAAGTCCTTTTAGAACACACTTGGAAGAAGCGCTGCGAGCAAAGGACATCAACGCGCTGCTTGTTTGCGGGTTAGCCTATGACATTTGCGTGGCCGCGACACTAAAGGATGCGGCAGAACTTGGATTTCTCGCGGCAGCAGTCGCAGATTGCTGGTGGGCTTTCTTTTTGGGCAAACAACGTGGCGTTCTCTTCTTTCCAGTAAAGGCTTCTCACAAGACGGCATCACGAAGGCCCACAACGACTTTGAGAAGTTGAGCATCCCTCGGATGTGCTTGGAAGATGCTCAAAAAGTGGCTCGCCGTCAAGCAATCCCCACAGAGTGGATTTTGAATTTGATCGCCCAGGCCGGGACAGCTACCGACTAACTGCCTCGATGTTTTTATGCAACGAATCCTTACATTCACTATTTGTGTCTTTTTCGAGCTGACTAGTACTAATTTTCTTCTCCTTCGCCAAGAAAGTATTTTTATATATTCCATGTATGTCATTTCGTCTGTTTTAAATGTACAGCTTCGTTTATTTCTGAATAGTTTATTCATTTCGATGTACAACCCATAATGGTTCACAAAAATCGGGTACCAGGGTTTTTGCTATGCGCACTTGTCATCTTCTTTTCCGGTTGTTTTGTCCCACGGTTTTTGTCCTTGTGCGTCGAGCTCTTGTTGGTATTCCTCCTTCAGCTTCCGGTGCTTGTCCCGGCTTTTCTTGGCCTTGTCGCCCTTCTCCTTCTGTAAAAGTGATTTTTGTGAATAAAGCATTTTTGCTACCAGCAATCGTTTGTACTGCTCTTCGTAACAGTTATCACCGTTGAGATGTCGATCGACAGCGTGCTTGATACGCTCGAAGGCGATCTCCACGTTCTTCGATAAGAGCCGGGACTCGTGGATCTAAAGAAATACCGAAACGCATAGGATTCTTACTTTTACAATGATCCCTGTGGGGATATGCCTCATTTGGACGGCGTTCTGCGCGGTGTTCACCTTCTGACCGCCGGGACCCCAACCGGACATGTAATGCTGAAATCAAGACATGAAGCTGCAGAGGTTGACCGACCTGCTCGCAGTCTTCATTTCGAATTTCTGGAAATTTGTAGTCTTTCAGCTTCGTTTTGACGGAAACGAATCGAAGATGCCGCAGATTGAAAGAAAGTGCGGCTTTCAACATTTGCGCTGCAGGATTGAATAGTTTATTTAATTCTACGTTTCACAAGCCAAACGTGCTTCTCATCGTGTTTCCCAGTTACCAAGAGCTATTATGTCAGCTTCCCTTTCCTTGTGGCACTCCATTCAGCTCTAAGGACTTTTTATTCAAACCAAAATTCTCAACAAAACGCAAGCGTCAAAATCAACAACCAACAATCAAACGGGGTTCTACGTTGTAACTGCATCACTTGGTGGAATCTTCCTCGGCCATCTTGACATCGCTCTTTGCCGCCTTGTTCATCGCCGTGACTTCGCCAGGAGTCAAGTTCTAAATCGAAAAATACACCCGATGACAGTCTTCAAACCTTAATCGCCGGCGCCACACCCATACCACCAGCCGCCCGCGCCTCGGTTATTGAATAAGGGACCTCTTTCAGTCTTCTCAATTGTTGCTTGTGCGGCTAAAAGTGGATTGTAGAACGAAAAGACATTAGTACCTTAGATTTCTTGTGCTTGCCCATCGTGTCACCATCCGCAAAGTAGCGTGCGCATTCGATGCAATAGAATTGGCCGTCACCGGGAAGATCAAGGTCTACCTAGAACGTCGAAATTAAGTGAATAGTAGCCCCAAACTTGCACTGAACAGCTTAGTCGGCTGAGCGCGACTAACATGGACACCTAGTCGTTATTCTCAAAGCGCGAAGAGTCACGCATTCTCACCTCCTGATTTAGAAGCTTTATCGCCTTCTGTGGCTTCAGATCTTCTTGAATCTCGTCGGTGAACTTGGCTCTTCTTTTCCGGCCTTTGTTTGATTGTGAAGGGTGCGGCATTGCTGAGTACCCTACACAAATACAATAAACCATCCGCGAAAGCCACGAACTATATAGGAAATCCATGGTTTTGACAGCCATTACGTGTGTTCAACAAGATATTTTCAAATTTTTATTGAGATTTTTATTTTTATTTGGTCGCTTCCGGGGTTGGAAGATCGGCGAGAAGATGTATCCTAAAAATAACAATTGAAAATTAGCGAAGGCGAGCTTACATGCTCGCACTTTCACATCGGCCTCCTTGATGATAGACGACAGGTTCTGGCTGCTTGAGGGGAAGCCTCCGACGGTGCGCGACTCGCCGAGGCCGGTCAGATGGCCGCAGACAATCTTCGAGACCTAGAATACAAATATTACAAATTCACAGGTGACACAGGACTACGTGGTTCCAGGAGTCTCCATCGAAGAATTGCTGCTTGATCTTGAAGAAAGTTTTGGCGGTGAGCAGGGCATCTGAGCCGGCCTGATGCCGGGCGCCGTAGCGCTTCACGTCCAGCTGATCGGCAACCTGAAAAAATATGATTCATGAGTTCTAAAACCCGCACAGATCAAAAATTATTCAATCTTTACTCTAGAGGTAAGTTTTCCGTTAAAAATGTAATATTGCGATACCGCAATCCGGAAATAATCCGAAAAGATTTACCTCCTGAAGTCCTCCCTTCAGCTTGGCGCTCTGGCAAATGGGCAGTCTGATCAATAGTTTTACATCGAAGCATTTAGGGAAGAGGATGCGATGGAAGGAGAAAAAGCTGGATTCCTAAAACGAAGCATGTATGAGAGAAACAATATCGTACGTCTTTCGGAAGCTCTACATTCAGAATAGCGCGCGTCAAATATCCAAAATCGTAGCCGCTGGAGAACGTGATCCAAGTGATTCGCTCGTCTGTGATAAGGCCGGACGTGGTCAGCAGGTCGCCAAACTCTTCCATTCCAATGCCGTCGGTCTAAAAAAGTAGTTGTTCGCAACGTTGAAAATCAAACCTTGAGCTTGGCGAAGTCGATGCCGGCGGCGCGCAGCATTTCCACACTCTCGACGCTGTACATATCGCTGTCGAGGTTAAACTAAAGAAAATAAATCAGATCTCAACGAATATTTTTGTACCGTAAAATTGAACTGCCACACATCTCCGCCGGGCGGGAGCTCTCCTTTATCATTGACGAGTGCGAAGCCAACCTGGAAAAGACAAAACCCTTCCATCACCGTTCAAGTCCGATACCTGGATCAACTTGAGCATGTTGACGTTGCACGAGACCTGCTGGTAGTTGAAATCTTCTTTCGAGCGGAACTGGCCCATCGGTGTCGCCACGACGCCCGGGAACTCTGTGTCCATCGCCACGTAGGGGTAGTCCTTCACAAGGGCCCGGATCTAGAGAAATACGAATTTTAATCAAAGGCGCGGCCGTTACCTTTGCAAACTCCTCGTCCAGGTTGCCACGCCAGATATCGTGAATGTTCACTTCCACCATGTTGATGGCTGCAATACTGAAAAAAACATGGGGTTAGTAAGTAAATAAAATTACAGAGGCTGATCGAGGACATTATTTACGAAAAAAATAGAAATGTGAGGACTAATTAATGTAACCAACTTTTTCTACTCGGACTCAACTAGGTTTTCAACTAGCTTTGTCTGGTTGCGAAATAGAGTTTTTATGATTATAAATGCCTTTTCTCTCGCGAAAACAGCCGTTCAGCCCTAAAAAGTCAGTCAAGGTAAAAAATGGAAACTGTTCCATTCCAACTAATCAACTCTTTATAATCCTCGCACAAAGGTAGGGATAAAACAGCAAAAGAATGAGAACCCAAAGAGCCTTCGAAGCTCCGCGATTCATTGCGCGACTCTTTTCCCGGGCAATGCTCAATCGTGGTTAGGTCATGAGGTGCGTTCGTATCAAGGCACGCGCTGTAGTCACATGGGGGGCCGTCCATCTGCGCAACTACAACCACAAAACACTAACGAAACCCGGGATTAGGTCAGCCGAAATTGCGTAAAATCAATAAAATCCGAAGACTGAAAAAACTTTTTACTTTGGTTTGCCTCCAGAAGCCTCTATAGCGGTTTGTGAACCCTTGCTGCTACCGGAAAAATTCTGGGATCTAACGTTGGGCCTGCTGGACAAGAAACAATGTGGTATCGCCGGGTAATAAAGGTCGTTCTGAAACTGGAATTAATGAAGTAACGTTATTCTCAGATAACAGACAACATACCCAGGGGATAAGCCCATTTCTAATGCGAAAAAATATTGGGGCTAAAATTTGGACGTTTGTGGGAATAAATAAGTTCCCACGTGGGAATACATAAGTATTATTATGCTATCACGGTGTAAGTCCTGTAAAACCTGAAATTACTGAAATGAGATACTGCCTCCAAAAGAGTGGAGACGACGCGGACATCTTTTTACGACCGTACGAGCGTTGCCTTATAAGGATCTCTCTGCGTACATAGGTTCCGACGTAACATGTATCTGAATGTGCGTTTTAAATACTTTTTACAAAAATACAAATGACATTTTTAGAAAAAAAATACTAGTTTTCCTGAAATCAACCTGCACAATGTCTCATTTTCCCCCAGCCGTTCACCCCCTTGTTCGCGCGCTCTCTCTCCCCGCTCTAGATTTCGTCACTTTTTGCGCACAAGACGTCGTCGTCGTGTCTATGGTGTATGGTGGGGGGCCCGGGCGTTTCGTGCCGGGCCGTCCGTTCGCTTGTGTGTGTATGTGTGCGGGCGCGAGCATCGGCGGCCGGGGGGTCCCGCGCGCGGGTGGGCGCGCGGGTGTTTGTGGAGGTGGCGCTGCTGGCTGTGTGGTGGGGCCTGTTTGTCCATCGCCGGCTCCTCGCACCGTCCACCGAAAAGCCAGCCAGCCATCCCGGCCCCGACCAATACCATCGTTCACCGCCCCGCGGCGATGGTTTGCTGTATTTTCGAGCGTTTACGTATTACTTTTTGGTCTTGTTATATTAGGGCAGCGCGGTTTCGACTTTTCGAAAACGCCTTTAAAGAGACACGGAAGGCTTGACTTTGGATTTCCTGTCTTTCGATTCGCAAGAGATTTGGTCTCGTGCGATACGCAACGCGCTCGGCCACCGTTTCATTGCGTACTCGCGTATTTCATTGAGGGGAGTGGCCGCGTTGCGTGTCGCGGGCGCGGAAGGGCCTGCGAAGCGCGTTGTGTATCGCGGGAGCGCAAAATTCGCAAAGCATCCTCAGCCAAAAATATATACTTTTAAGAGAAACTTTAAAAAGACGGTATTTAATTTTGCCTCACAACTCAGCGCCATATTTCACAACCCATAGTACACACGCCAAACTCCACCCTGCAAAATTTCAAATACCATCTTTTCCGGGCATTTTTTCGAAATTTGCAGCCGCCAAATCCGCCGCAAAAAATACAAAGGGCACCGGGTGAGGGGGGATTTGCAGGGCGTCTGAATTAGTGGGTATGCGCGCTAAATAATTAGTCAAATGGCAGGGCGTGGCGCGTGTGTATGCAGCCGTGGGAAAGTTTCTTACCCGAATTTTAGGTGCCATAGACGCCTTGCATCCTTCATTTTATCAATCATTTTTTGCTGTAAAAAACTGTCACACTTCTTTTGGTTTGGATACGGTCACAATGATATGATTTTTGGAGAAGATTTTCTCTGAAATGGCGCCTTTTGGCCATTATTGGCAATATAGACTTTTAGAGACTTTTTCTTGAAAACCGCCATCGTTCGTTAGTTTTTGAAAGCTGTGATTTGTTCAGAATTTCAAGCTTTCAATCACTGTCAAAATTTCATAACGCCGAATTTTTTTGCGTCGAGTTTGGGGGTTTTGTTGCTTATATAAATTTAGGCATTACGAAATTTCGACGTTACGAATTTCGACATGGTGAAAGTAACGCCCTAGAAAAGATTGGTATTAGCCAGGCCTTACACTCCCCTTAAAAACGAACCCCGGAACTAGAAATCTGCCGGGTCGCCCTCTACTTCTCCCCCCCCCCCCGCCATCCGTGGCGTGGAGCTAAATCAAAAAGTGTCCTTTTCACGCGGACACGAGCCCTCCAGATGACGTCGCCCGGTCCGTGGCGCTGGCCGAGAAGCGGCGGGGCGTGTATAATCGGGGGGCCGGGTGGGGGAGGAGGGTTGGTCGTGTCGACGAGAGAAAGATAGAGAGCGAGAGAGAGAGGGCCCAGGGCCCCCCGAGAACCCGACTAGCAAGTGTCCATAGGAATTCGCGGAGAGCCGCGGCGAGAGATGGGCCCCCTCAACATCAACCAGGGCGGCTGATCGATCGAATGGGCCCCTAGGGCCCACACGTGCCCCCCTCTGGCGCTCAGAGTCTTCATGTTTTTTTCTTGCGGGCCCCCTCTTCTTTTTCTCTGGGTCTCACTTTTTGCGGTAACGCTCAGCGGCCAGGGGGCCCGCACTTGGCCAGACGGCTAGATTTCGAGCCCGGGGCCCCCGGCCGGAGACGAACACCTCTCACAGAATTTTGACCTTTTTGGGGGTGGGGTTGAATTTTGGTTTTGGCGGTTTTAGGTTGCTAATTTTTTGACTTTTACTTCTCGAGGCTGCTTGCTAAAGTTTGACCTTTGACGATACGATATTATTCCGTTTCCGCTGATTTTCGGCTATTTTTAACTTCCTCCAGCTATCAATGAGGTCCGTCCACACGCGCCCAAATTTTGGATGGCCATTGGAATGTCGCGTAGTCAATTCCAGACTACGCTACGCGCCTATCGACACAAGAGTTTTGTGCGTTCCGGAGACCTAGGATTTTTAGATATTTATTTCAATCGAGTTTCATTCATTGGTTTTCCTCTCTTCTTGACGGTGAGCAAGCTAGCAGAATTCTTTGAGGAACCCACGTTCTTCTTTATTGACTAACCTACGGCTTAGCTTGGCAGTACGATACATTCGGAAAAACATTTTTTCTACAACTCTATGGTGAATTTAGATGCTATAATAATTTAGCTTAATCTGAGAAAAATCTAAAAAATTATTTTTTTTCATAAATATATGCAAGTCTCTCCTGTTCGTTAAATTAGCCGTTCCTGATTTCCGCCATATTTTTTGCGGCTAAAAAAAGTGACAGGCTTGTTGACAAGCGGAGTGAAGCGTACTTGTTCGGCCGGCGGCCAGTGATGGTGCGCCGGCAAAATAGTAGTGATAATCCGTTGGAAGGGGGCTGTTGACAACTGGGTCTTGGAATTGGCCGCGTCCTCGCGAACCCCCGTGAAAAACATGTCTCGTCAATTTATGGGCGGAAGTCGGTGCATGTACATAGTAATTTTCGGAATGTTTTGATTTTCAGGTTTAGTAGCTTGAATTTTGCTCGAATTTTGTTCGCTTCAGTCATGCACTAATAGATACCAAAGATGCGCTACGGGTCTTCTCTCTCCCTCTCTCGCTTTCTATCTCGCTCTCTCTCTCTCTCTCTCTCTCTCTCTCTCTCTCTTTCTCTTTCGCTCTCTCTCTCGCGCGCTCTCGTTGTCATCCACGCTTCGCTCTCTATCCCACTATCTTTCACTCCATCTCTTTCATCTGTCTCAGTCTCTCTCTCTCTCTCTCTCTCTTTCTCTCTCTCTCTTTCCTCACTCTCTCTCTCTCTCTCTCTCTCTCTCGATCAAGCTCTTCTTCTCTATAACTCACGACTTGTCCAGTGTTTCAACGTTGCGACGCCTAGCCGCTTTGGCCCCTTCAGACCAACCGCAACGACTTGTTGACGTCGTTCGCCTGAAGTTCATTTCCGGGCTCTCGACACCGGCACGTAGATAGTACATATTTGTACTGGCTGCGAATGCATGGAGTCGAAAGCGAAAAATTTGCCGAAAACCATCCTCCCATGCCTTCCCAGCCCCTTTAAAGCCCTCTCGCGCTCCTCTTCCGGCCCATTGCTCCGCTCCACTACCTCCACCGCCGGCCGTTCTCTGGTGCTTTCCGGGAAAACGGGCTGCCTTCTCGGAAACAATGCAGAGAAGCTTGGCCCGGGAGCTTTTAGATATTCTGGTCCTCGCCACCACCACTTTCCACCCCGGGACCCCCACATCAGAAAGGCAGCTGCAGGAGGGAGGGGATTTTTGGATCCTGCCTGGGCTATTAATAATGGTGTGTGGGCTGGGAGTGTGAGCAAGAGGGGGTTGGGTTTGCACTCTATCTCTCTCTCTCACTCTCTCTCTCTCTCTCTCTCTCCCTCTCTCTCTCTGTCTCTCTTACTTCCTCGATCTCGCTTTAAATGAACGTGCAAGGCAATGCGCGGCCTTGAAAATCCATAGAATTCTCTTGCCTGTTCTTTAAAACGCGTGTCCACCCAGTTTTAAAGCCCACTTTTCACCTCTTCTGTAGATTCGCCTTTTTACCTCCGGGCAGAGCTCACCACGATTTTCGAGGCGCGCCCGCGCGGCACTCTCGAGTGTGAGAAATCGACGACGGGCTGGTCGCGGGTCCCGAAGTGGATGGGTAGAAGAGGGGGGAAAGGAGCAGGAGGAGGGGTTCGTGAGGCGCAAAAGTGCGCTCGTTTTCCGAACCTCCGCTTTCTCTTCGTCCTCCTTTCCCCTTCTACTCCTCCTCTTCTCGACCAATCCATCGACACGCACACACACATAGCCACATGCATACATGGGCTTCCCTGGACCCGAAGCACCTGTTGGCTGAGTTTGAGCCTAAGCTTACTTGGCAAAGCTTTAGGCTAAGTTCTTGGCTGAGCCCAGGCCTAGCTTATTCTTAAGCTAAGCCTATGCGTATGCCTAAGCCTAAGCCTAGGTAAGCCCATACAAGAGCCTAAGCCTAAGTCTATTCCTAAGTCTAAGCCTAAGCCTAAGACTAAGCCTGAGCCAATACCTAAGCCTAATCCTAAGCCTTATCCTAAGCATAAGCCTAAGCATAAGACTTTGCCCCCATGCCAATCACCCGAGATTCTGTTTTGCTCTCGATTTTGGGATCTCCGATCTTCCCAAAGTACGAACTTTTCACTTTTCTTGTTCAGTTTTGGCATTTAGCTCTCTCTCTCTCTCTCTCTCTCTCTCTCTCTCTCTCTCTCTCCTCTCCTCTCTCTCTCTCTCTCTCTCTCTCTCTCTCTCTCTCTCTCTCTCTCTCTCTCTCTCTCTCTCTCTCTCTCTCTCTCTCTCTCTCTCTCTCCCGCCCGGCTCAAAAACAACGTCAGCGTAATTTGGGAGTAGAAGGGGGAGAATGGGCCGTGCCTGAAAATAGTCCCAACCAGCCGAGATTCCCCCCGCGTGTTTGGTCAGCCGGATCTGCCGGGCGTTCCTGTTCTTGTGCCGTGCCTGGTTTTGGCCTATTTCTGTTATGCATACACAAACATTTGCGGAATCTCTAGAATCTCTAGAAATTTCCTAAAGCATCTCTGCCAGCCTGCCGTTTTTCTGGTCTTTTGGTCGAAAAACCCATCTAACCCACCTAGGGTTTCTTAGGAATCATCGCTAGCCTGCCTTTTTCTTGCCTTTTTTGGGATTAAATTTTTTTATTCGGGCGCCTGATTGCGAAGCCTCTTTTTTACCGGGTCGATGTGAGAAGCCCTTCCCACCTGCCCACACCCACCGATTTCAAATATCAAATTTTCAAGCCCTTCTTGCTGACGTTGTCGTCATTGCTGTCCCTCTTATCCTAGTAATTACTTTGCCCTAAATTGCTTTGACTAAGTGATTGTTGGGGGGTACTGCAATGTTTTTAAGTATGTTCACTACCTACGTACGATATTATGGTTAGAGAGAGAAGTGAGAGAGAGAGGGAGAGAGAGAGAGCGCGCGAAAGGGATAGGGTGAGGGTGACACAGAGAGAGAGAGATAGAGCGAGAGTGCGAAAGAGAGACAGAGGGAGAGAGGGAGAGAGAGAGAGAGAGAGAGAGAGAGAGAGAGAGAGATGCATCTCTACCTTGCCAAGACTCACTTGCAACTTTGAAAAAATTACCGAAGGCAAGTTTTAGACTATTTTTCTTCCTAGGTGGCACTATCCCTTTAAAGGACGATAGAAGGCCATTTCCAGAATTTTCTTGATGTCCCACTCTAAACCGATTTAAACCGATTAAGAATGGTAATGGAATCAAAGATCCAGCCCCCAATTCTTTTTGCCGGCCCTAATCGGATTACCGGATATGAAAAAATGTGTATGTGTGTGCATCGTGTTGGATAGTGCGTAACAAGTTGCCAACCGGGGGGAATGGCGATGTGGGCGGATTTGTCGAGCGGCCTTTTTTACGCCCCCCCGCATTGCTCGGTTTCATGCCTTGGCATCGATTGTTGCCAGCCCGGGCGAACACGCACGTATTTTTTTGGGCAGATCTGGAATTCAAAGCGGGGGTAAGCAGAAGCTGAAGCCTAAATTGAGCCCGAGCTCAAACGTATGTAGCCAAAAATTGAGCCTAGGAATTTCTGATCTACTCCTGAAACTAAGTTTCATCTCTAAGCCTACGCCTAAGTAAAGCCTGAACCTAAACCTAAACCAAGCCTAAAGCCAAGCCGATTTGGAAGCTTAAGCCTACGTGTAAGCTAAACCTAAGCCTAAGCCTAAGCCATGCATAAGCCCAATTCAGACCTAAGCCTAAGCTAAGCCTATGTACAAGCCCAATCCCAAGTCCAAGCTCAAACCCGCTTTCCGCGGCTTCCACTAATTACCGCGCTTCCGCGTCTCCGTTCCATCCCCTTAATCGATATTGGTGTATGCCCTGGGGCTATATCCTCATTCTCCCGGCTCCCCTATAAAAGGGGCAGACCGGATCTCGAGCTCCTCGACCCCCAGGCTCTCAGAGTCCACAAAATCGACACTGCTGGCGGTGGATTTCCGAAAAGACAAGGTGTACTTTTTAATTTTTGACGAAGTTTGTCAATTAGACGCCATCGGCTTCGGCTTAGGCATCGATTAGACTTAGGCTTAGGCTTAGCTTAGGCTTAATTTTCCAGCGGTACCCATCCCCTTAATTGTCTCAAATCCCCCTGCCTGTGCCGACGATTTGATCTCGCGTGCGCACGCGGCGCGAACTTATCCACCTCCACCTCCTCCTCCCTCAGCCTCAGCTCTGGACTTCCGCGTCCGAAACGAAGCCCCCCGAGTCGTCCCCCCTATATTGATCTGACACGCCGGCGCGCCTCTACCACATACACACACGCATTTCGCTGGCCGAACATCGCGTGCTCTGGGGTTTTCTTGAGCCGATTGATGACATTGGGATATCCCTGACAAAACCCGTAATCGTGGATGGCAACGGAACTTGGCAGATTCAGCTTCAAACGACTGTAACCCCTTAAATTCATGATAGTTTTTTGTTGTCTTAACCTTCAGAATTCTCTACCTAGCAAGAGCTTTCGAATGGTAGCCTTGAAATTGTATACGAAAATTTTTGGATACAAAGTTGCACGGCTGTGATTTTTTTTTGTCTGAAGGTTTCTTCTTCTATTTCCGTGTTTTAAGATTTTTTATTTTCTCATTTTTTAAAAACATTTACGGGCTTTCGAACGCTATCTTTAAAATTTTATTAAAATTTCTGGATGCAAATTTATCGGGCTTGGAACGTTTTTTCTGACTAAAGTTCCTTCTCGGGCCCGGATCTCGGCAAATTTCGGTATTCACGCTCCAAATTTTTTTTGCAGAAATTAGAACATTTCAAGGGCTTCAAAATCATGTCCAAAACAAGCCAATTCAGAGCAGCTAAGATTTTAGAGAAATTTTTGAAAAACCGCAAAAAACTTTCCGGTCTTTTTACGATTTTCTGACGTTATTCTAACCTTATTTCCGGCCCTCTCAAACATCAGCCGGGTCCCTTCCTTGCAACATTTCCCCAGCGGGCAGACTTGCTGATTTATAGCGTCGGGAGTGGGAAGGAGAAGCCGTGGCGGCCACCTGCCACTCAGTTTTTCCCCCATTTCGCATCCAATAACCCACCGTCGGGGGGTATTCCACGAATAGCACAAATGTTTCAGGCGTCGGCCTTTTTTGGAGCGCTCTCTCTCATTCTCTCATTCTCTCTCTCGCTCTCTCTCTCTCTCTCTCTCTCTCTCTACCACACACTTTTTTTGCACCCATCTCGCGCGCCGTTCTTGATTAAAGTTGGAGGAGGCGGAGGAGGGGGCATTCCGTTGCATTCCGTGGCTGTCCAATTTCCGCGCCACCCCCTTCAGCCAGTCCCCCACTTTTTTCCCAGCTTTTTTTCCATCGCTTTTTGGCCTCCAGCCCGATCTGAGGAATTTTAAAGGTACCCGGAAGGCAAGCTCGGTCCCGAATGCCGAAAATGTCGCCAATCCCGAGAGAATTTTTGGAAAATATCGCTCCCAATTGCTTGTCCTTTTAAAATTTTGATAACAATTAAATTTACAAAAAATTTCTATGTTTTTAACGTTTTTTCTCCGTATTCCAGCTAAATCCCGACGGCCAAAGCCCCGCCAGTCAAAATATCGACAGTTCTCGACAAAAGTCACGACAAAATTCCCGACAATGACCTGGAATGCCAAAATTTTGACAGGAACGCCGACAAAAATGCCGACAGCCAAAATGGCGACACATTCGCTAGTTAGAATGGCACTCCCTTCGCCATTTCGGTTGTCGGGATTTTGGATTTCGGGATCGTGGTCTTCGAGATTCTGGCTGTCGGTATTTTTGCTGTCGGTTTTTTGGATGTTGGAATTTAGGCAGTCGGTATTTTGGACCTCGGAATTTTGGCTGTCGAGATTTTGGATAGTTTGTCATCGGGATTATGGCTGTGGATCTTTTGGATGTCGGGATTTTCGTGTTTTCCATTGTTTTCCATATTTTCATTAATTTATAACTTAATATACGCCACAAAAATCTCATCCTTAATCCCAATCCGTTCCAGATTCGAGCTTATGAGATGACGGTTGGTTGAAAAGAGAAGCCGACCCCCCCACCCTCCCTTCCCACCCTCCAGCTACTCCACAAGATGCTATTTTTGCTGTTCACGCTTGCTAATTTGTGGCCCCTCCTCTGGGCGGCCAGCAATTTCCACCCCGACTGCGCCGATCCCCATAATAAGGTTCGTTTCGCGGAGGGTTTTGATATTATTTTCGGTGCCCGGGTTGGACCCCGATCTGGCAAAAATCCGAAAATTGCCACGTGCCGCGCCCTTGGGATATTTTTGGCCTCAAGCCCCTGGCCAAATTTTTTGTAGTCTCCCCACCGACACCAGAATTCATTCAATGTTGTGGGAATTCCGAAAAAAAACTTATTGACGCTGATCCCGAGGTGGGGGGAAGCCATCTAAGATGATCTCGAGATGGGGCTCGAGAAATTAGACTAGAATCGCACTTGCTAATGTGATCCCAAGGGGAGAGGGAGGGAAAGAGAGAGAGAACGAGAGAGAGAGAGAGAGAGAGAGAGAGAGAGAGAGAGTGTGAAAGTGAGAGAAAGCGAGTGAGTGAGAGAGACAGAGTGAGAGAGTGAGAGATAACCATAGTTTGCGCTAGCTAGCTTCTAGATCTACCTAGTTCTTTGTGTTTTCCCAGTTTCCACGCTCATTTTTTGAGACCAAACCACCTGAACAAGACGTTTATCTTTCGCTCTCTGTCTCTCTGTCTCTGTCTCTCTCTTTCTCTCTCTCGCTCTCCAGGGCTCATGAGCCGCCCCATGCCCGGTTATGTGCGTTTCGCAAGGAAGCCAACAATTTACAATTTACCCCCATTTATGGAGCCAACATCTGTGACCGAAAATCGTAAAATTAAGTGGTGTCTTAAATGAAGATGATTTCGACAAGTTCATGCTCCAAATTTTCAGGAAATCTCATGCTCGGTGCACGTGGTCACCTGCGGCGAGGTGTCGGTGGCCAACGTGGCAGAGGGCTCGGAGCCGCCGCCGGCCCACGACGTCCGCGTCGAACCGTACGCGCGGGCGTCGAAGCATGAGCACCAGCTCCACGTTGACGTGTCGTGGCAGATGCCGCCGAGCAGTGAGTTTTTGAGAGAGAGAGAGAGATGGAGAGAGAGAGATAGAGAGAAAGAGAGAGCGAGAGAGAGAAAGCAAACTTGAGAGGGAGCTAGAGTGACAGCTTGGGAGCACGAGCTAGTAAGAGGCAGACAAGCGCCTAATACTGAACCTACATAACTAAAAACAATTCCTCCCATTTCCAGACGACTCCTTCCGCATCCGCGCCTTCGAGCTCCAAGTCGAGCGTGGGTCCGAGGAGAAGCGCTGTTTCCTCTTCAACGTCTCCAACTTTGGACTGACCGAGGATGAGGCATCGGTAGGCCAAGGAGAAGCTCAACATAACCCAGTTGTTCAGCCCCGTTTCCACTTCACCTCCGACAGCCTGTTCGCCTTCGCCGAGCCGTACCAAATCACGTTGCGGTCGTTGCCGAGAAGCGCAAAAACGGCGCCGCAAGTTGTCCGGAATGCGACGATGCCGTTGGATCCGGACCTGAAGGACCCGCCGTCGAAGAACAATCTGACGGCGTGGTGCAAGGCGCATTGTGAGTTTTATGATGTAGTTGGTAGTATTGTTCATTAATCTGGGTCAAAAACGGTACATTTTTCCGCAATTTTTTATAACTTTTTCCAGCCGATCCGCAAGCAGCGAAGTGGACGGCGGCGTTCCGGAAGATCTTCTTGCACTCGTTGGCAAGGACGATTCAGGTGAGCGAGTCAGAGAGGGACAAAGAGAGAGAGAGAGGGAGAGAGAGATAGCGAGAGAGAGAGAGAGAGAGCGTCTAACCCCCCTTTCAGATCGAATTCGTCGGCGCCCCGCCTCAATACTGTTTCGAGGCGTACGAGGTGCGGCTGAAGGACGAGTCGGGTATGGAGTTGACGCATAGCCATGTGAGTGTTTAAGATCGAGCCCATTGAGCTTATTTCCTTCCTGTCACCGTCCCTTTAAAATAAAAAACCGGTAATTTAGATCGTAAACGTGGCCGACATGCGCCCGGAGACGATCAACGGCAAGCAGGTCCTCTTCGGCGAGCACAACTTTACGAATTTGGAGGTGGGGATTAGAACTATCTCTTCCTCTCTCGTTCTCCCGCTCTCTCTCTCTCACCTGTGCTCGAGGCGAACTAGCAGAAACGCTTGAGGAAATTGCACAAAATTCTATAGCTAAAATAATGCCCTCTTTTCCAGCTGGATACAGACTACATCCCATCCGTGATCCCGGTCGAGAGATCGGCCGATCGTCGCTGTCTTTGTCCGACTCAGGTTTGTGGCTCGGTCTACGGTATCCAATCCACATTTTAGAACGCAAATCCGTACGACAATCAGATTGTGTGCAGTTGTATTGCCGCGGACTGGAAGAAAGTCCGGCTGCATAGTGGGTGCTTTCAAAAAATTTATCTTAATTCACGACTTGATTTACAATGTTTTTAATTTTTTAGAAATCGAGAAGCCACCCGCGCCGCCTTGCCACGATTGTATAAATAATGCTACGGTGGTGGACAAGGGGCCGAGAACGGATCATAAGTACGTTTTACAACCCTGTACGGACAGCGGAGTGTCGCGTAGTCTAACGTATCGTTTGGAATGGGAGTAAGAGTGAGAAATAAAGAGAGAGAGAGAGAGAGAGAGAGAGAGAGAGAGACAGGAAAACAAAAATTTAAATTTTCAGGAGCCTCTCGATCCTGATCGTGGCCGCCGTCCTTGCCGTCATCCTGATGATCCTCATCTACTACCTATTCGTGTTCTACCGGTTTGTAGCTGCACACTAGCAAAAACGGCCCTTTAGACGTCATCTTCGGCAAGGGAAGGCGTTCACGCTCCATTTTAAGAACATCAACAATAATAATGTGAATGGGGGCGTTGGAGGCGAACCGCGGGAGCCGTTGATCTACAACTGTAAGTTTCTCTCTCTCTCCCTCTCTCTCTCCCTCTCTCACTCTCTCTATCTCTCTCGCTCTTTCCGTCTCAATGATCTCCATTTTCAGCCTGCTTCTCGGTGCTGCTCGTCTACTCTCATGATTGTGCTCACCACGAGGCAGCGGTTGTCGCCTTTGCCGAGGTTCTACGCGATACCTTTGGCCTGAAAGTTCATGTGAGTTTTATCATAGTTGTTGATCGGAGCAAACGTCTATTAACGCTCAAAGTGTCTCAAAATTTACAAAATAAACAAATTTTCTAGATGGACCAATGGGATCAGGACGAGATCGAGGAGAATTTGAACACCTACATCAATTCCAGCGTCGTCACGGCAGATAAGGTGCGAGAGAGACAGAGAGAGAGAGAGAGAGAGAGAGAGAGAGAGAGGAAGAGCGAGAGCAAGAAAATTATTTCCCTTTTTTAGGTGATCATCATCAACTCCCTTGGCGGCTACATGCGGGCCCAGGCGAGGCACAAAAAGTTGGAGCCGGTCGAGCGGATCCCCCCAGGGGCCGCTGGATCGAATCTTTGATCTCCAGATTGACCTGGCGCTCCAGTGAGTTAATTTAAGCATTTTTGTTAATATATAACTTTGTATGAACCACTAATGCTGATTTAACCCCCATTAACGCGCGTTTTAGGCACGCTCGGGTCGTCTCGGTGCGGTTCCCGTATACGAAGGGCACTTATACACTCTACGCGCTCTCGCCTCTGTTACAGTACACCATTCCGGATAATATAGGTGAGAGAGAAGAGAGAAGAGAGACAGAGAGAGCGAGAGAGACAGAGCGAGAAACAAGATTCAACGAAACCTCTAATTTTCCAGGGCTTCTCGTCTCCTCGCTGACCGAGTGTACGCTACGCTCCGATCCACGGTTGAGCGGCTTCGACCCGCATCTCGCGAAGCTGAACGCGGCCATCTCGCGGATGACGCACTTCCAGGAGAGCGACCCGACGTGGTAGGAATTTCAATAGTTTCTTGGTAAACTTTCCATAGCGGAACTAATTACGCCTTACCGCACCACAAATCCACAGAAATCCCCCATTTCCGGTCCCTTAAACGCAACCTCCTCTTCAGGTTCGAAAAATCGCACCAGCGAGTGAGAGTCCCACTGCCGGATACGAGAGTCTTCGTCGAAGCCGATCGCGCGATCGACTCAGGGTTGGGAGAGTCTGGGACCTCAGAGAGGAGGACACTCATCAGTCATGCTGTTGCTCCCGGGGAGCCGATCGAGGCCGAGAGTCTTGCACTGCTTGAAGATGACGATGAGAATGTTGGTCATGAGGTGGGCGAGCGAGCGAGCGAGCGAGAGAGAGAGAGAGAGAGAGAGAGAGAGAGAGAGAGAGAGAGAGGGAGAGAGAGAGAGCGAGTGAGAGATCCATGTTTTAACCTCCCTAATTCTCTAGGTGGTACCGGAAGAGCCCTCCGCCAGCTCCTCTCCCCGACACGAAACGGCCGATTCGGCGTACCTCTCCGGCAGGCACGACTCGCACGATATGGACAGCAGATCATCAGGATCCGAACGGCCTGATGATCCTGTCATTTCCGGTAGGCTCTTCTTTTAAAAATTGTTTTAATTTAAATTTAATTTTATAAATTTTTAAATTTTAATAATAGTTTTTTAAATTACCTTAGTATATAAGATAGACATGTCGAAATCGCTTAGATTAATTTTAATATGTTTAAATTAACCTATCCAAATTTCAGAAAACCTCCGAAACGGGCAGACACGCATCCCGCAGCGGGCAGAAGACGCGCAAGGACGGCGGAAACACGATCCACGGAGTAACGCCGACGATTCCGGTGTCATATCCGGGGAATTCGTCTCCGGATTCGTACAGTAACCCAACTCACACCCACCCCCACCCTTCCCAGCTCCTTTAGCAATCACTCCCTAGATTTTCCTGAAAAATTCGTCCCCGAGGTTGTGGCCAAGTGGTAAAGCTCCCGCTTCCCACTCACACGACCCGGGTTCGAGCCCTCGTCCAGGCTGGACTTTTGCTTTTTCGTTTAAATCGCGGGAACCGATTTTTTTTATATGCAAATCTAGTCTGTTCACCATATCCTCCGAGCACGGATCTCTCTGGTCCGCCCAGTGAGTACGGTAGTCTGTCTTTCTCGAATTAATTCCCCCAAATTTTGAAATTTTTTGCTAATTTTAGTGATTATATTGCGTAAGAATAATCAAGAAATCTTCCCTTATATTTTATGCAAATTTAAAGGGCCCGAAATAGTAAAAAAAATGCGAAATTGCTGGTTTTTTGAATTTTTAAAAGGTTCACTTTTGCATTTCTTAAGTTTTTAAAAAGGAACCGAAAATGAATTTTAGTATTATTCAAAATATACAATTTTAGACCTTAGAAATTCTAATCAAAATGTCATTTTTTTAGGAAATGCACTTTTTTATTTCTGCAAAACCAAAAAAATTTCGATAAATTTGCTATTGGAAATTGTAAAATCTAGAAAAACGTTTACTGTAATTAAGATAGAAAATATAATTTATCAATTTTAAACACCATTTTTATCCAATAAAAAACTAAGAATTGACAAAAAATTTATATAAAATCAGGCCCTTTAAAACCCCCCAAAAACCCCCATTTTTATGTGTACGTTTTCTCTCGTTGCATTGCGGAGCAGTACAAACTACGGGTACCCGCACCTCCTCCGGACACCGGCATCTTATACTAATTTTTTCGTGTATCTTCTCATTTTTCCGCTTTCTCTTACTGTATTACCGTGCCCCCATCCCCCGATCGGCATTTGCATAATTTCGCGAAAGCAAAAACCACCCCATTGCGTAGATCTCGAAATTGCGCCCCGTTGTACGTAAATCAAAACCACCACGGCTTTAATAACCCCCCAAAAAATCAAATTAATAATTCGATCCGTATTCTCAAAAACCACAATTCGGCTAATTTGCATTTTTTTTGTAAAAAATATTTATTTTGTCATTTTTGTTGCTATAAAAACCGCTCCTCATCTCGCATACAGAGTCCTCTTCCCCGTCACGTTACGCTACGTTTTGTACTCACAACGATTCGGTGGTCAATAAAGAATATACTATTATTTTCAGGCGTGGAAGGAATTTACATGTCAGACAAATAATCGCTCTTTCTCTCTTGCTCACTGTCTCTTTATCGCTCTCTCCCCTTTTCTCGCACTTAGCTCTCTATCTCTTGCCTTTCGCTTTCGCTCGCTCTGTCCCTCTATGTCTCTCTCTATCTATTTATCTCTCTCTATCTCTCTCTCTCTCTCTCTCTCTCTCTCTCTCTCTCTTGCTCACTCTCTGTACACTAAATCTCTCGCTACATCTCTCTCACTCTGTCACCCTCGCTCTCTCTCGCTCTCTCACGTTGTTCCAAAAATTCTACATAAATACCTAAAAGCGGAGTGTAGTCCAACCTGACCGGCGGGCTTTGTAACTTAAATGCGTATAATTGCGTAATTCTTAACAAAAGGCAAGCTAGCAGTGATCATTTACGGAATTTGATGCCGCCAAGAAAAGATTTCAGTCGAAATAGGTTAAAAATATTAATTTACGACCCTGGGAAACTACGGTAGCTATCAAAAAGAAACCAAAAAAGATCAATTCCGCACTAAATTAATGGCACGGATACAAAATAAATTACCTTTTTTAATTAGCGTGTGCCGGTGTCGAGCTGATCGATGCCGGATCGTTACAACACCAGCGGCAGCGCCTTGAGGAAGGGAGCCGCCAGCCGACTAGGAGCAGCTGCAGCTTTTTATCCCTCTCTCTCTCTCTCTCTCTCTCTCTCTCTCTCCCTGGCCATACTTTCCATGTTGTCTTTTTGCGCCCTTGGAAAAGACCCAGCTACAACATACGATCGGGTCCCCCCACCTTCGTGGAGGGCATTTTTTAGTATTCGTTCGTTGCATGGGATTCCAAAATGGTCACTGCAAGCTTGCCTGCCTCAGTTTTCCGAAAAGCTACTACCAAGCGGTTTTGGCTGGCCTGCCTGGATAAATTTGCGTCAAAACCAATCCCAAATGGTCTCTGCTAGCCTTTTTTTTATTTTTCTACAATTTTGTCCCCAGTGGTCGCTGCTAGCTTGCCTAGTCTCGATTGTCCCCAAATCTTATCCGAAACGATCTCTGCTAGCCTGCTTTATCTCGATTTTCCCAAAGGTTCTTTTCTTGCCAAATGGTCTCTGCTAGCCTGTCTTGCCTCAACCTCTCAAAAAAAAAACCATTCCAAGGGAGCTTTGCTAGCTTACCTAAATCCACCACAAATTCTAATCTTTTTGCTTTCCAAGCCCCTTCTAAAACACCCGACCTGACCCCCAGTATCCGCCGAACCGGAAATGGGCCATCGGTGAATGGTGCAACAAGTGACAAATGACAGGGGAAGGGGTACAGAGAGGAACCCTTTGACTGTCGCCTGGGCCCTCGACCCTTTGCCTTATGGCCCAGCAGAAGGCAGATGGGCATCCCAATATGGCCACACAAATCTGAGGGCGGGATAACACTTGTTGGAGTCTGCGGATTTGGGATTGTATCAATCACTGCGAGAGAGAGAGAGAGAGAGAGAGAGAGGAGAGAACACATGGCACCCTTTTTCGGGTTGTCAACAACCAGCTCTTGGCGATTTCTGCTCTTCTTGCGCTGCCCCTTTAAAGAAAATCGTTTCATCAAAAAATTTCATTAATTTTTGGTAATTTTATAATTATTTAATTATTACAATTATTTTATATTGTTTAGTTTATTATTTCTTGAATTATTATAATTATTTTATTAATTTTGCCTGAAAAGAATGGAAATTAAATTAGCAGCTCTCTTTTCACACGCATCACAGGCTAGCAGTGAAACTCAGCGAGCCTGCTCCTCAGACTCCTCTCGAGGTAGGCTAGCAGAAATCATTTGGGACAGGTTCCGAGCAATCTAGCAAAGACTCTTTAGGAATGCTCCTGAGATTCTCGTAAATACCCGTGAATCCTTTGGGTTCCTTCTCGGGTCCCCCGACCCGACGGGCCATTAGGGTATGGATTTCGGGGGGTTGGCCCGGGAAAGACGTTCTCTCTCGCTCGCTCTTCGCATGGGGTGTTCCCCCTCTATTTCCATACACACCAAACCCCCCGTCGGCCACACAAGAGCACCCTTTTAGTCAGGCCATTTGTGAAACTCACACGCGCGTTGAAACGGGTCACTTTACCATCTGCAATCGGGATTTTTGGGTTAATTCTCTCGCTCTCTCGCTGCTCTCACTCCAGCTCTCTCTCTCTCACTCTCTATCGCTTTATCGTTATCTTTCTCTCTCACCCTCTCTTTGTCTCTCTCTCGCTCCCTCGATCTTGCCCAATCACTCTCCCGCACACTCGATAACTCTCTTATTGCCCCTCTTTCTCTCTCTCTCTCTCTCTCTCTCTCTCTCTCTCTCTCTCTCTCTCTCTCCCTCTCTCTATATATCTCTCTTTCTCTCTCTCTCTCTCTCTCTCTCTCTCTCTCTCTCACCCTGTCTCATTTTCTTTCCAGTTTCAAAAAAAAATAAATTTGTCATTTTCAAATCACAGCATTCGGGGCCAGGGTTCCTCCAAGATTTTCCCGCCGCTAAAAGCTCTTGCAGCAATAAAAACAAAATTTCGGCTCGCTAGCCGTTATTTATAGGCAGCCGGTTCGCTTTTTAACATTCATGTCGCCAGAATGTCGTCGAAATTGATAGCGTTCAGCGAGGTTTTTGCCTTTGCAAAATTAGAAGATGTCAACGCCAAATAATTTTTTTTTGAATATTAGATCCCGTGCCCTTCAACTTTCTTACCGATCTAGCAATTAGATGAGATCGAACCGGAGCTGGCCATACCTTGTTTAGAGACACCTCCACAGTAATTCTATCTAGCCATCGATCGACTAGCCAGACATCGACTAACAAGTCTGCAAAAGTTGCAACATTCTCCTCCAAAGTCATAGGTCACTTGTACCAAGTGTTGTCGGCCCTCCTGGATGGGATAATTGAGTTCTCGGCGCGCGCGCCCACCCCCCACCCCCAGCCGCCCTCCCAATAAATTTGCATGCGAAGCAGTGGTGGAGAGGTGGCCCTCATTGCATGCTCCTTTGTTCCCGCCACAGGGCTGACAAATGGAATTGCCGATTCACACACATTTATTCACACCCTCCAGTACCCCCCGCAACCCTCGAAATATCCACTAATTTCTGGGAAACCCGAAATAGGGTGTTGGGCGTTTTAAGCGGCTGGCAAGGCATGATATATAAATTTTTGAGATGGATTCCTTTGAACTTGAAGCTTTCCTCTCACTTCATCTGTCTCTATCTCTTGCTCTCTCGCCATCGTGCTCCCATTCTCTCATTCTCTCTCTCTCTCTCTCTCTCTCTCTCTCTCTCTCTCCTCACTCTCTCTCACTCTTTCTCTCTTATTCTCCCTCACTCTCTATCACCCGCTCTCTCTCACTATCTCTCACTCTTTCTTTCTCATTCTCCCTCACTCTCTATCACCCGCTCTCTCTCACTATCTCTCACTCTTTCTCTCTCATTCTCACCCGTTCTCTCTCACTCTCTCTCTCGCGCTCCCGCTCTCCCTCTCTTTCTCTCTCTCTTTCCCTCTCTCCCCTCTCTCTCTCTCTCTCTCTCTCTCTCTCTCGCTCTCTCTCTCTCGCTCTCTCCGTCTCTCTCTCGCTCTTCTCGGTCGTCATCAAGCTATCATTAATGTGCAAAGCACGTTGGCTTGAGCCCATCTAATTCCATAATCATACTACAACCCCAAAAAGTATTTTTTTGTTATCCGGAAAGCTCGGGCGCACACCCCAAAATGTTAGCCACCCCAAAGTATGCATGAACTGGTGCGCTAGCCAAGCAGGGGCGGGGTGTTTTT